CAAGCCAGTAAACAGCATTGTCAGTTACATATTTTAATATGAAGCAAAAAAAAGAGCTTGTATATTCTTGTATATATGAACAGTCTGAAAAATATAAATAAAATTGTTAGAACAAGAAGTATAGGCTCAAAAAAATCACTTTGAGAATTTACTACCCAGCCAACAAATTGCTCTGCCTGTTTCATTAACAGCATAAATCACCTAAGTAAAAAAACATTGCATGCTCTGGACAAGTATGCTGGGCTTAACTAAACAAAGGGAGGCTTTGTATTTTAGTTACCTATAAAGTTTAATGACTTGTTTTTAATGACATGAAGACAAGGCTACTAGATATTGATACAAGGTGCCAATGTCGGAGTGTAGTGAACTCAGATCACAGTACGAAAATAGGCTAATTGTGCTGGATCTAGGAACTGAGCATTCCCCTGTAAGACTGCCCAGTGGAGGCCAAGTACCCCTAACAGCTATTTCCACTCAGTGTATATTTCCATGTGTATGGGCAGCAAGCAGGATGCTGCTTCATGTGCCCATGTGGAACTCCTGAAATTCTGCTGTGTGTGAGGAACCTAGAAGGCATGGTAGAGGATGCAGGTAATTTAAATGCTGCTTCTGCCTATTGCACAGCCTGGATACACCGGGTAATTTATTCTCATTCTTTGGTAAAAAAAGAAAAAAAAGTGCTAAATGGGGCAGTTATAGATTTTAAGGCTAAAACATATAACTGAAAATGCACTTTAAATTAGATTCTAGGTTAAAATACTTCATTATGAAGATAACAGTAATATAAAAATCATTGCCTGTCCTAATTTCTGAACAAACTCTGCAACACATGAATTAAGGATGCGCCTGGTGCAGATGGGAGATGTTAGTAACATCCTTTCTACACAGCACACATTCATGGAAGTAGCATATGCTCTGCCACTTTTGTCTCGTCACTTTCAGAGTTTGAAATTAATGTGCTGTTCCCTGGACTTGCAGAAGCAAAATCCCATCCAAAGAATAAATAATACCTATGATATGTGTTGAGATCTGACTATATAAATTAAAACTACTATCCCTTTAACCTTCTCTGTATTTTTGTGTTTATGTATATCCTTTAATGTTTCTTAGTAGAGAGAACATATACAACTTTGGCATTGCATGCTTTCACACACTTCTCAGATCTTTCTCTGCATATTTGCATGAAGAGGTAAGATAAGGCCTTTGATATTCTGCAGAGATAAAATCTGTTATTTTTTTCTGGGTCAATCAATTTCCTTCCTTAGATCAGAGCTGGGATCTCTAAAGTGTATACCAGGACTGAGCTTCCTGCAGTCATAAAATTAGACCCATCACTGTCATCCCCCTGTAACAGCAACAAGAGGAAAAATTGAAGATGTGTACATTTTTGTGGCTGTTCAATTAAGTCAATCAGGTCCAAATCTCTGGGAAAAAAATTGATAATATAACTTACAGTGTTTGTGTGACATAATTTAAAAACCTGTGCATGTTAAGTTGTTAAACTGCTTCTTTTGGTTTGCTGGATGTGATATCGCTGCGTTAGACTAAGGGAAAAAAATGGCATGACCCACTTTGATTTAGATGACCAGTTTCACTCATTAAGACTGTAATTTGCTTGTATTTCACTGTAAGCATGTATCTGGGGCTATGCCTTCTGAAAGCAAACCAAACACTTCTGTATCAGGAAAATGGTGAGATAGAGAGTTTGTGATCCATGTACGTACAGACTACTACAGTTTTAGAATAAAGCTCAAAGGTCCCTGTGATGCTGAAATTCCTGTTATAGAAAAAAACCAGTAATGCTATGTAAGGTCTGGTAAGTGCTTTTTATATTTTTATGTGTGTTTCCTATTAAAACAATGAATACTTTCAGGGGTTATAGTGTTTTCCCTGTTACCCCTTAATGTAGGTTATGAGGAAAAAAAAACATTAAGTGGATTTTATTATACAGGAAATGTACTTGAAGTGTGGAATGCTTGGGAACGAATGCCTGCTTTACTGCTATAAATTGTTCATGATATGTCTTTTCATATATGCATCAAACATAGCACTTGCTGCAGAGATGCATGTGATTTGTCTTTTCTCCTGAGAGATGGTAATTGGCTTCAGTTTACTTAGGCTACTGCAGTACAATTTATTCTCTTAGCTTAGCCAAGCCTCATGTTGCAGTATGTTTTCTTCTATGAGGGTGAGGTATTTAATTTGTGAAGTGGTGCAGAGTATGTATTACATTACAAAGATGAAGCACATCCCTGCTCTGTGGTGTTTAGTGGAAACAGATCACAGCACTTCACCATTCTCCTTTACCTTCTCTTGTCTTATTATTAAATTGGATGTGAATTAATCATGATCTTTTAGAAAAATCCATTGTAACGAGCTCAGTAATTTGAACACATGGCTAATGAACTCTGCTTGCTATTTGCTTTGTCTACTTATAATTATTTCTGTAGTTTTGAGCTTCACTCTCATGGTCTTTTTTGTCTTTTCCAAGGCTTATCTTTTTCTAGATAGCCAAACATTTCAAAATGGCAAAAATTAAAAAATAATACAAATTTATTTTAAGTGTAAGATTTTGTTATTAGTCCAATAATCTTTGATGCTCGGTTTTCTTTATTTTTTTTCCATTTTATCTTTCTAGTTGAAGAATTAATGAGACAAACATAAAAATCACAACAAATGGCACTTGAGTTAAGTTCTGAAATATAAAAATCTTCACACAATTATGACATTTAGTGTAGCAATAATAATAATGTATCATGTCAGTCATATACTAGTGATGAACCCTCTGAGCAAGGACTTTCCTGATTTTTTAATTCCTATCATGATTTCACCTTCCAAAGGATTTAAATTTTTTTTGTCAATAAATTACAGTATGCCATTTATAATGGACTAAGAAGTGCTGGGTACTCACCATTTCCTTTAATGCATTAATGAATTTCACAGTAAATACATTTGACTATTAGGATCCTAACTTCCCATAATGGCAGTCCTGCTTGTCTTTATTGTGGCCAGTCTGCTTCTTGGAGGAAACAGTTGGGTTTTTTTTCCATCACACACTGGTCTTTCCTCCTTGGTTAAAATTACTTCAGTGCTGAATTAGCTCCAGTTAATTCTGTAAGCTTGTTACTCTTTTATGACTGTGCACATTGTAGTACTGCTGCATTAGCTCATGTGAGGCACTGGGACTTCTGGGAACACTTGCATGGGAACAGCATTAAGCTGTGCTGCCCTATGAATTAATTTGTAATGTACTGAACAGGAATATGTCTCCTTTCTGGGCATTCATGTGGAAATTTTTTCATCTGAAAACTCATTAGGGAAAAGTACCAAGTAATGAACTTATACTAGGAGAGTGACTTAGCTCCACGGTCAGCATTACTAATGCTCTCTTTTTGGCAATACGTGACAGATAAGAAGTTGAATACAGAGTGGAAGGCATTTTGTCTGTGGTTGGACATGTTGAAAATTCACCTGGACATGGATCAGTATAGTCGTACAGTGAGGATTTTAGGAGCTAATAAAATAAGGAATCCTACTTTGCTGACTGGATACAAAGGAGGATTAACAGTAGGGAAGGAATACAAGCACAATATGGTAGTAGTATAAAATTATGCTCGACTGGAATAGCCATCACTACTGGCTTGCCTAGTAGCATGTGGAGTGTTCTTTGAAATGTATTTTCCATTCACATGCATTGGAAGCATAGGAGTGCAGTAATGTGAGGTTTAAATTATACAAATTCAAGTGATTTCTGTGTGATAAAGGGAAGAAGTTGTTCACAGAAGCAGCAAAGGGTAATTAGGAGGACATACATGCCCTCAAAGTGAGCCTGTTCACAGACCAAGTTGGACCAAGACCCTCAGCCATTTCTGCTGGTCCACGCCAAAAGCATTGTCAGTGTTTTTGCACATACCGTGCTTGGTAGTAGATGGATGCAATAACCTCAGTTTACAGAGTACTGTAAGAGCCTCCAGGTTCCTGAAAATGAATTATTAAGTTCCATTCCTCATCAGGAATTGGACTCAATGATCCTTGTGGGTCCCTTTCAACTCAGCACTTTCTGTAAACTAGTGAAGTAGGGCTTCCTTATTGCATACTTGTCCTACTCAGAGACAGCTGCAGCAACTGCTGATGCTCAGTGAATTAGAGTTTTTGATAGACTTTAATGTTACAATGTTCCATCAGTTATTTCATGGTTATATGAGAAATTTAATATTCAGCCAAAATATGTTCAATATGGTATAATATCCACAGAATAAGGAACACTGAAAACATGCCAGTGAGTAAACTCCAGGAATATTCTACTTACTGTTAATTTTGAAGTGTAATGATAAATTTTAAATTAGATAATATAATAATGTATTTCAGTGTCCTATATCTTTCTGCCCTTGAACAGCTTGATGACATCCATATTAAGTCAAACTGTGTTATCATTTAACATCCAGGTGCTTTGGTTATGAACACTACTTGTCACAGCTCAGCATCAGTGTTATCCCTTACTTGTGAGATCAGCTGAGATGGCATTTATAAATTTTGAGAATTACTGGAATAAAAAAGAATCACTAGGCAACTAAAACCAACTGTTTGCAATAACATTTAGTCACTTGGCTAAATGTTAAATGGGACCAAACAAAAAAACTTCATTGGAAAGTTTATTTGCATATTTAGGACTCATAAAACATGGGCAGCTTTGGTAGCAGTAGTGAGGAGTGCCTTGATGGCTGAGGAGGGCTTTTGAGGGCTAAGAGACATTTTGGGGTTTGAATTGTGTAGGTATCCTGTTTTATTCCCAGACAATATGCTGATAATAAAGAAGTAAAAAGAAATGCAGTTTGATCAAAGTTCTCAGATATTTTTTTATAAGTATTTTACATAGAAGTTGAAATATAAAGAATAAGGTATTTAGTTTTAGGGAAAAAGAAAGCAATTCTTATTTGCACCAAAGTCAGTTTTTATCTTGCTTTAACCAACTGAAGGTCAGAGACAAAGCAAAATAAACATAATTTTTAAAAAAGAAATCTTTATTTTTTTGGCTCATATGTAATATTGTTTGCGTTGTTTATGATAATAACAATTTCTTGCATGCATTTCACCAACACATTACAAGTCAAAAGCATTTGTAAAAGAAAGATTCTACATTTAATGTTAGCTTGTGTATGAAACACAAAATGTCCTGATGTCCTCAATTATACAAATGTGCCATTTTTTTTCATGGGAAATATTTTATTTGTACAAGTCTAGTGAACTGTGATTCAAAAAAGAATAAGAGTAGACTATGTAAACAGACACTGCAAGACAGCAAGGATTTAATCAACTATGAGACTATCTTGGAATTTCTGATGCAAATAGTGCTTAGAAATTCACACATTCCCCTAATGCTTTCCTTGCTATGTCCTGTAACTATTTGGAAACAAGCTGGGTTCCAGATTTACACAATTTACTTCACATTGGAATATATGCAAATATATTATTAAAACAAGATAGTCTACAAATACTCACTTTTTTTTCCCCATAGTGTGATGATGCCAGTTTGGAATTACTGTGGTTAGAAAATAAGCCAAGTGAATGAGGAAAGAAATATAAGAAACAGTGATCTAAACTTGAAGACACTTTTCTTATATACAGAACTGTTGCCAAATGGTATTTCTTTACATTATTTATATATGCTAACCACATTGTCAACAGGTTTAACAGTTTGCAATATGGCCTGTACAGTCTGATTCTACACGACATAGCAGCCACTTCAAATTTAAAATGCAAAACTAAAAAAGCTCATAAATAGCTGCAAACTATTGCTTAATGATTTGAAAGAATGAGGTCTGGTTGGACAACTTGATTCACTTCATCACTGACACATGGCTTCCTATAGTGGAGACTGTGGACAGTGAAGGAGCAAGGTGCAGCAGCAACAGCATTGACATGCATCAGTGATGCTCTCCTATCTATGACACAGAATACAACATGTCCCGTTGAGCTCTTGCAAATTAACCATACTGTGGTACATATCTGATGCAATTCAATGCGGCAAAGCCATTTAATTCTATGTTCAAATATGCACAACAGTATACTGTTAATATTTACATGGAAAAGGTATTTAATGGATTCACTGGATATTGGAGATAATGACAGAAGACAGTAACCAAAGAACAGCCCAGGAAAAAAGAACAGCTGTCAAAAACAAAACAAAAGAACTCCCAGATATATTTTGGTGAAGCTATTTTTCCAGTGCAGAAACTGCACAATATTTTTTGAACTGTAAATATTTTAACATTAACAAGAACTTATTCATGTTTAGTCATTCGCATAAAAATAAGTCATTGCAGATTCCTGTAAATTAGAGGAGACTCTCCAGGCACATTAATCTGGATGCACATAGTCTGGATGCAACCATACAAGTAGTTAGAATACTTCAAATTTAAGAGCAACCCTGAAACATGGAAGTTCTTAAAATCTTCAGCTTTGTGCAATGTCATATTTTTATTTATGCATGATTGACAAGTGCAGCATGTCTATGCAAATCACTCCTATCTGTACATTATAGAGAATCTGAGAGTAGAACTCCTGGTCCTCATACCTCTTTCCCCAACATAAAACCTATTACAAAAATAGTCACATGTAATAGTAAACAACCTGTGAATTAAAAAATGATAAATACACTAATACAGTTTTTGTAAAAATATGACAAATGTGGCAGTTGCATTACAAACAGTGAAGAGAATTACTGTTCTACATGTTGTGGAAATAAAGTATCTTTTTGCACTCATTTCATGCTCCATCTTCTCTATGGAGCCACCTTTTCCCTTATTCTTAGCAGTGTCAGCTGTAGTGAAAACAGAAACCTCTTGTCAAGTTTTTTACCCTGATTAACAGAGTCACAGTCTGATGATGGAGGTTCACTGTTTTGTTATAGGCACTGACCTTAAGTATATATATAATGTATATATATGCACACACGCGCGCGCACACGCACACACACACATGTGTAAAAACTGTCAGTTTGGTATAAATCTCCTGCAGGAGTCCAGTTGATGATTCATTCACAAAGACTGTAAACAAGTTGTCCCATTAACAAAATTCTTAGATCATTATTTTTTATTTTCTATTTTCCCTGATGTCTTTACCTTTGTAGTTCTTTTCTGCTTTATCTTTTTCATATTTTTCTTTGTCTGGCTTTGTTACACTGTCATAAGAGGGTGGGGAAGTTGTAGAAGAACTCTCATCTGTTTTTTCTGGGGTGGAGTTTCCTTTTAGTTTATCAATAATTATCTCTTTTATAATGTGTCCATCTCCTTCTTTGTTTTTATTTCTATTATATATACTAGACACCTGTTTAACTTTTACCCTTAAGAGGTGACGTCTGTAAGCACGCTGAATGATGACAGCAGACACCTCCTCCTGCTTTCGTTTCAGTGTGGTTGTAATTGGTTCATAGGAGACTTTAGAAGGATTGGCAGCCATAAACCGATCTTCCATCTGTATTCTGAGGGCGTCCATCTCCCCACTTTCCCCCAAAACACGCTTTGTGAAAGCAAACAAGATGTCAAGGCAGTGAATTCTGTCACCGCTCACCATGGGCAGATCCATTGCAATAAGCTGGACTTTGTTGGGTTTTGCTATGAGAAGAGGTGGATCTAATGAAGCGGCAAAATCTGATAATTTACTATATTCTATGAATTGTGTTGCATCGGGGTCAAACTTCTCCCAGACTTCATAGAACATCTCAAAGTCATCCTCGCTCAAGGGTTCAGCGCTTTCCTCAGTAGCAACACTGAAGTTCTCCAAAATCACAGCAATGTACATGTTCACCACTACCAGAAAGGATATGATAATGTAGCTGACAAAGAAGAAAATCCCAACAGAAGGGTTGCCACAGTCACCTTTCACAGAGCTCCCTGGATGATCTTTATGGGGGTCACAGTCTGGCTCCCCACTGTTGAGAATTGGGGCGAGCAAACCGTCCCAGCCAGCGGACGTGGTGATCTGGAACAGGCAGATCATGCTGTTGCCAAACGTTTCAAAGTTGAACATGTCATCAATCCCAACTTCCCTCTTGACGTAGGCAAAGTTGGACATGCCAAATATGGCATAGATGAACATGACCAGGAAGAGCAGCAGCCCAATGTTGAACAAAGCAGGGAGAGACATCATCAAAGCAAAAAGCAGAGTGCGGATTCCCTTAGCGCCTTTAATGAGGCGCAGGATTCGACCGATCCTGGCAAGTCGGATGACTCTGAATAGTGTGGGAGATACAAAGTACTTCTCAATCATCTCAGCCAAAAACATACCTGGGAAAAAACAGTGAATAATTAAAATAGAATTTTAAATTAATTAATTAATTTCCTGTAGAAAGATTTAGTTATTGCTATCTCCAATATAATCAGTGTAGGGATTCTATGCTATAGCAAAAATTATACAAGTTATTACATTTTATTGAAAGCTGTTAATAAGGTGAAAGCATCTCTTCTTATGTTGAAATGTTATCCTAGAGAAGGCAAATAAGTAAAATAAAGACTGATTATAGCAAGTAGGTAGTCCCTGTGTAAGCTTTCAGTAGTTCTTCAAATTATTAGGAAAGGGATGTTTATGTCTTAGATACAGCTAATTCTTGAAGCTCAGCCTATAAGCACTTTCTTTATGAAGGATGATATTGGCTTAATTTCTGCAAGTCAGATTTCTTTAACAGATCTATGTTTTATCAGCCCAATCTTTCTCAGATTTGTCACTCATTTGCACCTTGGACAGTCACTAGATTTTTAACTGACAAATCTTAATTAGCAAAAGTAAAAAATCTCACCCATTTCACATAATTTTCAGTTTTAGTATTGAAAGTAAATCTGTGGTTAGTTTGCATATACCACTAAACATTCCTCTTTATATTTGTACACATTACTCTAATGTGCCAAACAGTTCCATTATGTCTTTTGATGTGGAAAATTACAGTGAATCTAATGGAAGAGATAAAAATCTTTTATGCAACATTACATATATTGTGTGCTAGATAATATGAAGATCTGAATCAATACGTAAGCCATAGGAAAAAGGAAATTCCACAATCAGCATTAACATATTTGAAACAAATGTTTCCTATTACTTCCAGTAATTCTTTCTTGAAAGTGAGTTGCTCTTACCTACTATGGAGAGAATCACAACCACAAAATCAAAAATATTCCAGCCTATAGTGAAGTAGTAATGGCGAAGTGAAATCAATTTCAGGACAAATTCTCCAGTGAAAAGGACAATGAACACCAGGTTAATCCGGGATAAAATTGTTTCCATTTCTTTACTCTGATCATCTGTTTCTACCATCATTGTGACCATGTTAAGGCAGATGAGGATCATGATGCTGATGTCAAATACTTGTTTGGTTACAAAATCAAAGATCATGCCTTGGAATTTGTTCTGCAAACACAAAGATGGAATACAGTTTATACAGTGAAAATAATTTTCTTTTAAAATGCCAAATGAGAAAACAACACCTTTCAAGATTTAGGAGAGCAAAGCGAGACTCATTCACAATAGAGGCAATAAGTCTAACACATGCTGGTTTATATCTCATCTTGCTAGAGTGAATCAAGAAGTTCACCAATGTTGGCTGAAGAGGCAAGAAGGGAAATGCTGCAATAATAAGAGTAATAACAATGACAGTTAATATTATCGGGGTGAATGGGTGGTGTAAATTGATAGCCAGCAAGAGTACCAACTGAATAAAAGCTAATTTTCTTCTCTTTATTCTCAGATGGTTTTAGAATGCTAACCCTCTTTCTTTCTTAAACTAATTGTGCTTGGTGAGATCATTGGACTGCTGAAGACACATGTCTCAAACACACCATGACTGTAATATCCTAGTTTTTCTTTAGTACTTAGCTCAATGTTTTTTGCCATATGTCTCTCCTTAGAAAGTCTATTTTCAACCACTTGGTGCATAAGGTGCAACAAGTATTTTATTTTTTTAAACAGCGTAGGAGTTCAGTAAATAACAAGAGTAGTGTCTTATCTTAGAGACATATTTATCCTAGTCTATGCTTTACTCCCTAGGACATTCTTTTTCTCTGTAAGATTTTCTGCATCTGTCCTTCCCAATAGGTTACCAGTGCCCCTTTCTGTCTTCAGCAGCAAGGGCCAGTGCATTCCCATTTCCTACAAATTCTCTGTGAGGAGAAAAAACAGAAAATGAAGTTTATCCCTGGTAACAAGAACCAATAAATGATCCAAACAATTGTGGTTTTCCAGGACTTAGGCAGGGAATGTTGAAATTTATCATTATTAAATTTAACATTATTAAATAATTTTGTTCATACTTCAGTGTGTATGTTTTTAAACAAAATATTAATGATCTAATCTGATGGATTCAAAAAGGGACAATTTCTACCTTTACAAGAAAATAAATGGAGAAAATATTTTCTTTCCAGACCTATAACCTTATCTTGTGGACAAGACTATATTCCCAAATGATTATTTAATTTAAGGGATGTGAAAATCAAATCACTCGTACCACTGGCCTCGGTATAGGTTTCTGTGGCTTTTTGGATCCCAATTTTTTCATTGCATTGTAGTATTTCTTCTGTTCTTCTGTCATAAATATATCCTGACCTCCAAAGTAAAGAAATAATATCAAAATTAATTAGTATCCACACATAGAACATTTATTTACAGTATGTCTCCCTGTAATATATTATTAAAATTATATTTAATTTATATAAAAAGGAAGGGGTTTTTTCAGGTGTTTATAGGGTGGATGCTCATATACACTCCTAACACACAGGAAAAACCCATTACTTGTGCCTTGTCAGCTTGGCAGTTGAGTTTTTCCAATGTTTCCATGCTCACTTTTGCTGAAATGGCTGAAGGCATTCTTGCTCTACTGGTGCTGTTCAATAACTTGGTGATTAGGATATGTTTAGTGAATAGGAACATGACTAGTGCCTTGCATGGCCTATCTTCTGTATGGACTTTCAGGATTACAGCTAGACAAGACTAAAAGAGGCATAACTTTGAGGCAGAAGTTGTGTTAGGACAGTGTATTAGTATCTAATCCATGGGTTTTAACAGCAAAAAAACCCCCCGCCTTTGACATAAAATTAGGAAAAGTAATTCATGTCATGCCATAGCAAATTAAAACACCACTGGAAGGAACCTTGACAAACTCAAATCAGCCTTTGTTTGCAGACACAAATGCTGCCAGTCAGATGTGCAAGTGTCTGACTGACTTCCAGTATAGGTGAATTGTGCTTATTGATGAATCTTCACTGAGTCAGATGGAAGCACAATGTTAGTTAGCATCACTGTCTGCTAAACTGGCCATCACAGCCTGAAGCATCACAAAATTGATAGTAACCCCAGACATATTTAGGAAGCTAAAGAGTATTTTCACAAGGGAAAATTTCTGTAGTTCACAGTTTTCTTTTACCAGAGATTCTGTCTGGTATTGCGGTTATTTAATTGGTGATTGAAAAAAACCAAATCATATGAAACTGCTTTTTCACAGCACACAAAAATTTAGAATGACCCTGGCATTTGAAAACTAAAAACTGTGAGGCTTCAAAATATTTTAAATGTGATTATTTGTATTTTTATATTCTAAGGTTCTTTAAAACTGAACTGTATGCACTATCAATACAACTATTTTAAACACACTTTTACGTCAAAAATACACAGAAAGAAACCACTATTCCCTGTATATCTTTGCTTTACTACTGATAAAAATTACAGATTGTATTTGTGTCTAATGAATTAATCTCATTCTTATACAAGTGTTAGAAAAAAAAGCCCTTATGTGCACATTTTTACTTATACCTATTCATAAGAGGTCTATTTGACTTACTCTTAACTTATTGTTTAATCAGTTTGCAGATCTGTTATTCACTTATTATAAGCATCAAGAGTTTGTAAGAATAATTATAATGAATACACCTTAATTTATCTTAATACTTTAGAGTAAATTGAAAAATAAATTATTTCATGCCAGATCATAGTGCATCTAATCAAACCAATAATTCACGATCACTTTTCACATCCTCATTTTAACTATACACTCAAATTGCAAATTATTGTGAACCAACTTTTCATTTCTCAAAAAGCTAAAAATGCAAAGTTCAGAATCACATCCACAAATTTTAGTACAGATAATTATTTATTATTTTTTAAGACACACTTTACTTCAAGTCTTGAAATTACTTTTGATTTTTATTAGCCTTAGAGAAATAACTTTTTAATTCTTTATAGCTAGTAATTCAAACCAATATGGAAATATTTTAAATACTTATCTTCTTTTTTTGTTGGTTGAAGTTGTCTATAATAACACCAATGAAAAGGTTCAAGGTAAAAAATGATCCAAATATGATAAAGATGACAAAATAGAGATACATATACAAGTTGTCCTCATACTTAGGTTGATCTTTTACCTACCAAAGAAAAAATAAATTATTACCCATGAGAATATTAGATGCAAAAACAATACATATAATTTAGAATTAGGTATATGCCATCTCAGAAAACCTATGAAAACCACTAATTTATTAAAAGGAGCACTAATTTATTATAAAGAGCACTAATTTATTAAAAAGATCCAACTTGTCCATTCCAATCAATATTTGGAGAACTGGAAGCTGACAGAATTATTGCTCATATATAACTTTTAAGTAAATGTGCTCACAGATTTGTTTCTGTATGTACACATATAAAAAGTCCCTCATATAGAAGAAATAAGCAAGGTGGGATGTAGAGCAGTCATTCATACTTAAAATTTTATTAGCAGAAATCTAAATATTTTATATTGTGTTCAGTATATTATCACGGAACAGAAACAATAAGTTTTACTACTGCCTAAATCTCCCTGGAACTCTTTTGGTCTTGCATGAACATTCTTACATCCAGCTAGGAACAGCTGCTTTCAAGAAATATCTAGTGAATATATGTTTTGTGAAATGCATTAAATTGAGGAAATTTTGAAGGAAGATTTTGTTATTGTCTCGGTTTATCTGGATGCCACATCCCAGCATCTGCACCTCAAGAGCACAACAAGCTTGAGTGTAGAAATGCTAATGAAACAGAGTGTTTTACTCTGGATATCACTAACATGACCATTTGTTTAAGCTAAACAGAGTATTAGTTTTGTAGCCTAAATAAAAAACTAATCCCCAGAAAGCTTAACAGGTGATCTTCAGCCTTAAAATCTAATTGCACTAAAATATCTAGGTAACATAGGCACTCAACCTAAGGAAACAACAAAATGCACAGTTACAAATTATAAAACCTGATTAATGTATTCCTTATTTAATAACTGCATAATATAATCTTAAATTAATACTTATGATTACCAAAATAATTTGTCAAAAACCTATTATTTGTTCTATTACACTAACTTTATAATTTTAAAAAAATCCACTTCAATTAATTTAGCTTTTTTGGCTAAACAGAAGGAAGTGAGATTCTTTCCAGCAAAAACTCTGAGAATCAAAAAAATATTTATTGATGCTGGTTATAATTTTTTGTTGTGTATGTAGCTGTTTAAATTTTATACTCTTTATCAGAAAATAATCAACAGATGACTTTGAAAGATTTACACTTACATCTCGTGAATCAACAGCAGCATACATAATATCCATCCATCCTTTGAAAGTAGCCTAGAAATAAAATAAAATTGTTTATCTTCCCCATAAAAATACTTAATACATAAAATAACTAAGTTATTTATTTATCTGGACCTCCACTTTTAATAAAATCACGTGTAAATTTCTGAACCATACTTGACAACACAGGCATCATAAATATTTTTTCTAGTAAAACTTTTTTTTTACACTTTTATTTTTAGTTGTTCAAATAATATTAAAAACCAGCTCTTAAGATGCCAACAAGTTGACAGTATATTTGGAGCTGGAGATGTTTACTTTGCAGATGAAGAATGATAGATTTAGACAGATATTCATGCTGGAGATATGTAGGTAGGATCTACTAGAATCACTCATGGCCACAGCCATTTTGTTAACTTTACAACATGAATTGATGGAATCACTAATATAACTTCTGGACAGAAACCAACATGGGTCTGAATAGGGTTTTTTCTGTGTCTAAACTGACCTGGTATTTTTAGAAATGTTTTAATCCCGCATAGCTAAAAGGAATAGACTGTTCAAAGTAAAAATATACTTTGTTTCCTGAGAGATTTGTTTTAAAGAAGACCAAAAAGTGAACTGTGTAAGAGATGTAAAGAGTAAAAAGATCTGCCATCATTACTCCAAGGAGTTTATTTTAATGCATGCAGGACGTCCATTTTTTTCAGGAACACCAAAACTGGTGTGACATGCTGGTTGAAAGTGTGAGTGTGCAACCACTAGCCAGGGTTTCCAAGCTTATTCATAATAAAGGAAAAAGAGCTAAAAAGCCTGTGAAATGAACAAAGAGCATCACTCGTGAGGAGGTTCAGGAGAGGAACCATTCCAAGGAGTATATTTCCATCTGTGCTTGCCAGAAATGGCTTTGGTGCTTTGGTACAAATGCCAGTTTCCACAGCAGAAACTTGCACTCTGGAAGCCTTTGTATCCTCCTGAATCTTGCAGTGCAATGCCAGTTACCAAGAAGGTGTGCTTCAAGCCAGGCTTCACACATCTTTCTGGCCCATCTCGCAATTACCAGCCATTTGGTGCACTTTGCATAGCAATATTAGGAAAGGTTCAGAGTTAGATAAGAGCAATAAATACAGAAGAGTGAAGGAATAATGTTAATGGAGGCAATCAAATGAAGATGTGACACAAAACATGCTCAAAGATCCCTTAATCTCTGTGGGGAAAGTAAAGGTTAGAAGGAATATTTGAAAAGGAAAATTATGAAAAATCAGAAAAAAATATTAAAAAAAAAGAGCAAGAAGAAGAATGGAAGGTTCACAGTAGTGAAGTAGTTATTGAAGACCTAGACTGTCTGGATGTATGACACAGATGACATTTATACACAGCTTCAAGAGCAGCAGTTTTCCTTACACATCTTCAGAGGCAATGATGGCCATGATATCTGAAACCAGAGAATCATTCAGTACTACTACTCAGCACATAAGAATCACATTGCCTTTACAGGCAAAACATTTTAATCTAGGTAGTTAATTTTGGAATTAAGGTCAGCTAGAAATACTGACCTGCTCTGAGACAGAAGGGACAAGCATATCATTCTTAACTTTGAATATCAGAGCTGTAAATATTTTTTCATTCAGTGGTGCTGTAGGTTGACTCACAGACTAGTGATTCTACAATCATCTAAATATAATTACATGCTTTCTTGCTTGTGTTTTGAATCAGATCCTAGCTTTAGAAGCTCCATTCTCATCAAGGAACCTGTAAAGAGCTAAGGTCTTTATTTCTTTGACACAAAAAAAATATGCTCAGAACCTAGAATAAAGGCAGTTCTGAACAGTGCATAAGATAAGTAATTGAAGGAGAAATGCAATTTACAGATTTTGTATAAGTAATAGTAATTAATGGAATGAATATGCTATGCAATAACATCCAGTATTTCACAAGGATAATACTTATTTAAATTTAGAAGTAACATAATACTTATTTAGTATACTATAATGATTCTTTAATAAGCATTAAGGAATATGATAGTTCTATACTGTGCGCCACTAAAGATATTCTTTTATTTTCTACACTTACTATTTTCACATCATTATTATTATCATCATCCTGAGACTGTATTTTCTAGTCTTGGAAAGGAAAATTACTCTACTATCATTAAAAAAAAATACAAGAAACAATGTAATAGAATTCCGTGAGCTGTTCATTATTGCTATGAAGAAATTGTTCCTCTACTTTACAGTCTTAACTTGCCCATTTTTCCTAGATACCTTTAAAAACAGCAAAAAGAAAATATATACATTTACTTACTACTTGAAGCAGAGCAAGATATCCAGCTCCTACATTATCGAAGTTTACTTTCACATTCTTCCATCGGGCACTTTGATTGCTTTTTATGAGTTCCACACACTGAGTATAATTGTTGACATCACTGATATCAAACATCTCACCAGTTGTGGTGTTGACACAGTGATAGAATTTCCCAGCAAAAAGATTTACTCCCATGATGCTGAAGATTAGCCAGAATATAAGACATACCAGCAATACATTCATGATAGATGGGATTGCTCCTACAAGGGCATTTACAACCACCTAGTGTACAAATTAGACAAAATAGCCACTTAGCTTACGGAAAGAAAATGAAAAATACTTGAAAATACTTCAAAAATTTCAGAACAGTATTATTATGGGATGGACAGTTGAAATATTACAATAAAATTTGTGGGAGAAATTTTAATGAAGGTTTAATAAAATGCTAATGAGATTGGAAAAAGCAAGAAATAAAATGAGATGGAAACAAAGACAATGCAAAAGTCTGAAAAAAATCAAAAAGCAAAAGAAAACCTGTTAGTAGCAAGATGAATTCTTAGCATTTGTGTGCTCTAGAGAAAAAGAGAGAAATAAATGTTAAATTCCAGCAATATAAATTAAAATACATAAATAGAAAATAAAACCATGAAAAGCTCAAAGAATGATGATGTGGAAGACTAAATAAAAATGTCTGCATGTAAAGCTATCATTACTAATGATTTTATTATTAGAAAAGTTATGTATATATTGGCATCAGTGTATTTTAGTATCCACACAGAATGCAACAAAATTAGGGATATCTTATTTAATCATTATTAACAGCATTTGCTCTAAGTCTTGGTTTTAAATTGCCTGGGCTCATTATAGTTGCTCTTACATGTATCCTTCTTTTTCTTTTTAATTGGTTGCATTTAATTCCCTTGAGCTTCTGTGTATGGGCAAGGGGCAATAAAAGACCTGATTAAATCCTTGGACAAAAGTTTTATCTTAGTTATTGTGGAGGGATAGAATGTAAGAGAATAGTGCAGAAGGTGGTCTCGCACCTGAGGAGTTGCAGCTGCACTAATCACCAAAGATTAGGAACAGGCCTGTCCTTAATAGGCCACAGCTGTGTCCAATAAGGAGGAGTGCTATAAAAGGGAGGGTTAGCTGGGTGAGAGGTGAGTTGTGGTTTGTTGGCTGTGCTGTGAGGAGCTGCCCATGAGACATCACCGAGATGGTATAGAACTTTTAGAAATAAGCTGAACAACAATTGTTAGTTGTCAATAAGTTGACGAGTTATTGTAATTCAGCTAAAAGAAAGCTGCAGGTATTCAAGTAATAATTTTCTAGCAAATCAGTAGAGACTGCAGTAGTCTTTTGTGTGTACGTTTGAAAAAGTTAGTATTTTTCACTTCACTAGGCTGACCAAAAGTAGTCTAGCATCAATAGAAGTTTTGCTTATTTATTAGATAGACACTTGATGTGTTGTTTGTATTGCCAATCATGACAAACAGTGGTGATGGTGATGTGCACAAGACACTCTTCCCTACACTGGCAGGTGTAACAACCGCTAGGATATTGGCAGCCTTGCCCAGACAGGAACCACATTATTTATTTGGCAGATGAAGACCTATGACTGAACTATAAATATGTATTGCAGCACTGGGACATTTTGAGGTGAAAGATTAAAATGACATTTCTCAATAAAATTTTAATTTTTTAATTTTTTATGTATCAGTCTTTCAGTAAGTAGCACGGTCTGCTATTGTTTATAATAGGGTTTTTCCAGGAGGGGTTTTTTTTTGGTTGGTTTGTTTTTGTCAGATTGGCAGAATGTGAAAATGACAATCTCCTCAACAGGTGGATTTTGCTGCTATTTACATTCATATGAAAGCAAAGGTCTCTAGCTAAGGAAATTATTTCCAATCTCTCCCCTTCTATACTTCCAAATCTATCCTTATTTCAGGTGTCTTTTCAAAAAACCTTTCCCTAATACTACAGCATTTACTGTGGGATTTCTTTCCCCAGGTAGGTAGACAGGGAGACACAGTGAAGCTTTAGTTTCTGGTAAGCCACTCTTGTCAGATTTTTCACGTTTTGGTGGTTTCTTTTGCTTTCTGGCTAATTGTGTTTCATCCTAAACCACTGAGAAACTAATAGAATTGAAGTTAGCTACATAAATTGGGTCCCAGATAAACTGTAGGAAAAAACCTCCCACCCTCTACTGTAAAATTTTTCATGTCCTTTCATTTTTTGGGGTCCACAAATCAATGGCAATTTTTACAGTCGGGGGGCTGGGAAAACACAACTATGCAGCAGTGAGCAGGCAAATTTAATGAGCTCAAGGTCTAATTTTCAAATGTAAGGTGTACATTTGTTTGTAAGGACATGTTGAAAGGCCTTTTTCCACACATTTCTGCATGCCTTCCCATGTTGGAGTTCTTTGAAGAAAGCATGAGTGTAACCATTAATACATCAATTTTTGTATGCATACATTTGTTCAGACTCATTCATTTTTTCTCACCCTCATTCCTTCAAATCGTGACAAGGCTCTTAAAGGTCTTAAAGCTCTTAATGTCCGTAGCGATTTAATGGCACCAAGTTCAGAATAGCCCAGAGCATTGGCTATTAAACTAACCAATGAGACCTATCAAATACAGAAAAAAATATTTTTAAAATAGTTCTACGCTGTTTATTTAAAAAGAATAGAAATTCAAGCAACAAATCAACAGTGACAAGTTGTAGAATGCCACCATGTTCATACTTGCTGGAAAGGCAAGAGATCTTATAAAGGCATGGTTAAAAAAGGAACATATTCTATTAAATGTCTATCTATTATGATTGGATAGGGTTTAAGAGTCATATGGAAGTATACTGTTGGTGAAAGATAAAATTTTCAGAAAACTTTAAGGACAAAATAGCCATACTTTCTGTAACTTCATTAAGGTTCAACTTTTCAAACAATTTAAAATTCTGAATACATTAAATTGTTTTATTAACATCTGTCAATATTGTGAATATCCATAAATATTAATAATGACATATAAACACTAATATAAATAATAATATATAACAATGAATAAACCATAACCTATAAGCACTAACATAAATAATAACATCTAATAAACACTAATAATATCTATGTACACTAACATCTATAAACACTAATAATATAATAAATATTGTAGTAGCTAATTACAAATATTTGTTAAAAATATTACTTCAAAGTGGAACAGTTTATAACAACAATAACCAGGATATTTCAGAAATATGTATTTAATGAGGTGGTACTATCTCACTTGCCTGGCAAGTCTCTGGTTTTTTGGTTTTTTTTAATCTTGTGAGTATAGAAAAATATTATGGGATAGATATTAACTGCTGCTCACCTTATTGCAGTAAGAGCTTTATTATCTACAACAGTTAAGATCCTATGCACGTTATTGGGATTTGGTTAAAAGACAACCCACTTAAGTAAGGAGCAATTAATTTGCTCCTCAAATGGAACTGAGCTTTAGACAGTGTTAATATGGAAGGAATTAATTTTCTTCAAGCAGTTTTGGAGACAGGGGTGGGGAAAACCCGTGCCTTATTCATATTTTATTCATTTCTACCACCAAAAGCATAGATGACATGTAAATGAGCATAGGCATATTTTGCTCCTTAAGAAAATCTCTCAAATGTTAATTTCTGTGCCTCAGTTTAAAGAACTCTTCAAACACTCTACAGAAATAGAAATTCACTGATAATGGTAGTAAGATTTTGACCATTATATGAAAAGTTGGTTTCCTATGTTTAGGAAAAAAGAACATAAAGAACAATTAGATGACTCTCAAACATAAGAGTTACAAGACCATGTCTAAGAAGGCCAGTCCAAGAGCAAATACAAATCAATTATTCATTGCTATGTTGCTATGTATATTATCTAACAGAAAATAGTGTTTTAGTGAATTCATATTGCTGGACATTTCAACTGGATTTTATGTCAGAATGTAATTCTTTTTAACAAAGGAAAGGATTATTTTATTGCTCTAATGGATAAATGGAACTTGCTGTGATTTATAAGCATATTAAGAAGAAAATCTTACTGATTTTCTTTATCTGTAACTGAAGTCTGTTCACTTACTAGAGATAAGTATTTTTCAGCCATTATATTAAATATTGACATTAACTACTATTAATAATTATCATCAATACAATTTCTTTTTCCTGTGATGCTACAGGGAGAGGAATCCTATTTCTCTTTAGTCACCCATATGTTCCAGAGATGATAAGAGATGGAATTTTCTGTATTTTTAATAGAATATTCATTTATTCACTTAAATCAACAAGGTACCCAGGCATAACAATAAACCTTAGTGTAAAGACAGCACATTTTATGAATTAAAAATAAATGATGAAATATCTCTTTCACTGGGAGAGTAAAGTGTCCTATGAAATTGAACTCACATTAATGGCTCCTTCATTTTATAATTGCCTCCCCAAATTTGCACTGTGCCTAACCTATCTTTCACAAACAAGACCCCTTCCACACTGTTAGGTAGCAGCAGCTCCTGAAAGTCTTCAGTGGCACTGTGTGTATTGGCAGTTCTTAGGTCCTGACTGTAAAATTCTTCAGTCTTGTTTGTGCTCCCTATTTCAGATTATTGGCAGCTTTCCTAACATGGTGATAGTGCTCTTATACCATAAACATTAAGTTTTTTTCTCAAATAAATACTTTATCTATTGGAAACAATGTGTTTTCCTCTAGACAGTTCATCTGAGATGCAAAGTTTTGCTTGGAATTCTATTGCATATACAGCTGTTCTGTACTTCTCTGGTGATCTCAGTCTTGTTAACTTGGTCTTCTCTCAGCTGTTCCACCTGTTTTGTTACCAGTACGTGAGAAAGTAAATGTATCTGTAAACTGATAAATAGATTCATGCATGCAGATGCAGTAATTTTAAGAAACTAAAATGAACTCAAAATGGTAGAAAGATATATCTCCTAAAATTGAAGGATTGTATGTGCTCATTTGTGTTTTTCTTCTAATATAGACTCTCTGTTGCAAAAAAAAATAAATTGTTTAGAAGCGTAGCAGTGACAGTCCTGCTCAAGATCTTCGGTCAAGCTGTACAGTAGGATGGCATGATAGAGTCTTAAACTGAGGTAGGCAGATGTACCAAGAGTCATCTGTCACAGCTGTAAAGTGGCAGAGCTGAAAATTACCATTTCTTAGTGTAATTTTCAAAATCTAATTTAGTCACAATCAATGAAAGCAACTGTGGCTACTTGTCACAGTGAGAGACTCAGGTGTGTGAGATATTAAAGGTCAAAGCCCTAAAGGACTATCTGTGTTTACTCTTGAATAATTTTAGAGAATGGAATTAAACAATCTGATTAACTTTAGTCACTCTCATTGAAGAAGGAGACATTGGTGTTCTCACTGGCAGAATGCTGCTGAATCACACCTCTTTAAACTGCCATTTAAAGCAGTGCAGAGGCTGCTTTTCTATAGGAAGATAACATCAGCTCACGTTTCTTTCAAGTGCTGGTGGTGCTAAAGAAATTGCTGAGTTAGCCTTAAACACAGTAAGGCATTTTTTACCTCTTGCTAGAACATTGAAAATAATTCTTCAACAGTAGAAAGTTCCAATTTATTTATTCATGTTTTTGTTTAAAAAATTATGAACTATGGAAAAAAGCTAGCAACGTAAGATGCTTTCCTTACAGTGATGTATTTTTAAATTTGAAAGCCTGCCCAGATAAGAGCATCTCTGAGGTTAAACTAGGAAATCACAGAGTAGGGCTTAGAATAATCTGGTTAGCTTTAAGATGCAAAAAGAATAATTAAAACATGAGTTGTCGATTATCTAGAAAAAACACGACATTGTTTAACACAATCCTGTAAGAGTGCATCTCTCTACTTCATTAACATCCTCTTAGGAAAACCATTCACACTTTATTCTAGTGTAGATTTTCAGGACAGAGCTAGAGATTAACTGTGTAACAAAACTAACTCAGTCTGGTAAGAAAAAAGAGATAATATATTTTGAATTATGGGCCACTCTAGCTAGGGGTTTTTTCTTGTGCGAGTTACAAATATAATAAATTTCTCTATACATATGGAATAAGTATTGAAGAGACCAGAATTTATGCAAATATCTCAAGAAATATGGTAGCATGGGCAGAAATTACTGTAAGTGCACAACTGCCCTCAGATGCCATCTCTCAGTTCCATGCTGAGGACATGTATAGGCAATGAACTGGGTCAGATAATGTGTGAGGCAAGAGACCAAAATATTCTGAGAGCAAAACCGGCTTTGATCCCTTCTGACAACATAAGCAAGGCCTTTGCACAGAAGTGTATCACAGCTGGGAAGGCAGCCAAGGAGCCTTGTATCCTCCTCTATCACAAACCCTGCCAAGTCATAGCTGATTTAGCTATTGCAGATTGTCAGTCCATTAAAACCAATTATTTTTTAGATCAAATAGCCACTGACTTTCTGGTTTTACTAGAAATGATTACAGGATAGTTTTCAGTTAAAGAGTTCTGAGAACTTAGACAAAATCTCGACCAAATGAATTGTTTCATTTGAAAAACTGAAGTGTTCAAAGAAACTTGAAGAATGAACTGTCTTATTTTCTAAGGAATAAGGTAGCATGGTCAGAGTTCATTAATGATGGCATGCTTAAAAATTAGGTTTTTTCCTCATAAAATCTCAAGTTTGATACATTGTTTGTATGAAAATATTTGCTATGAAGAATGGACAAACTGATAGGCAGCCATCCTTTTCCTTTTAGCATATGAATGGACTTTAAATAACACCTTCAAATTACTGCAGGCCATTACTAATGCAGTGTAACTATAAAATGGGAACTCTTTTTTGTACATTTATAATATTAATCTACTAATGAATCTTACAATGCAGAAACTTTACTGTAGGGAATTTTAAAATATTAATTTGTACTTACATCAACAATCAGGAAGTCCAGCCAGCACCAGGCATTAGTAAAATATATTTGAAAACCATATGCTACCCATTTTAAAAGCATTTCCAAAATGAAAATATACGTAAAAACTTTGTCAGCGTATTCCAGCATGGTCTTGATAGTTTTGCGCTGTTCAATGTATATGTCTTCAAAAGCCTATAAAAATATATTGAGGTATCACACCTGTTTCACAGAATATGCATGATAAAATTAAGGAATAAACAATAAAAATTAATTAGAGAAGAGCTAATATTTCCCCTTGTTTTTCTTCACTCTCTTATTTTATATGTTTTCCATCTTTAACCATAGTACTAATTGGAACAATAGGAGACCTGTCTGGAGTTAAAAAAAAAATTAAAAAAAATCTGTTTTACTAATGAATGAAGAAAGAAACTCACGGCAGTTTTTTTTATCCTCTGTGGTATTTAAGAAACTTTCATATAGACAGAAAACCCCCCTTTTCTTATATATCTGTTACAGATATTTATATTGCTTTTTAGAAAGCAGTTAGATAAAACTTATGTCTAAACAATCAAATTAAAAAGTAATGTATTTGCTAGAATATACAACTATGCACATTGATATTGTAGCAAATGTTCAGCTTGAGTGAAGCTGGAAAGTTTCATGCAAATCTGTCTGGATAGTGGTTGTTATGTTTAATTTGCTGCTGCAGTCTTCCATATCTCTTGCCTCCAAAATAGGAATAGAATGAAGTAATTATTCCATTTTTTAGTACGGTCTTTCACAAGCAAAATTCAAAAAGTAGATCAGACTAGGAGGAATTCAAGACTTAAACCAATATATTTAGCTATACATTCACAGTTAACAATACCACTTTGTACTCAAATCTCTTGACAAACATAAAATTGGCAGGCAACTTAAACTTTGAGGAGCTATGCTGTCTTCAAGTTTGGGTCAAGTTTCATTCCAGTCTGGAATGATGAAATGTAGGGAGTTTTATACAGCTACAAGTAAAGCAAGTCTTTCTGAAGCAAATTTGATTTTTGCTCCTAAGTGATCTCAAAATACTTCAGCATCTGCAATTTTGTTTTACTTACTAGTGCTCCACTGCTGAGGAGAATCATGAATACAATGAAAGTCTCAAACCAGTTGTGCTCAACTATGCTGTAGCAGGTTTTTCTAAGATTCCACCAAGTTTTTCCTTTGCCATCTTCTATACTTACTTGACAACATGGAAATTTCTGTACACAACCTGCATTAGATTAAGAAATGTTAGTATCCAAATGCCAATTACTTCAAAGTCAATATTTACTGTAGTATATATTATTAGCACCTTTTACAGGTTTTATATGGTTTTTAAAAAGTAAATTAAATGATGAATAGGCTATCACATCACACAGGATGATGAATATCTGAATTAAGAAAACTAATCTGGAGAGAAACTAGACTATGGTACACTTAATTATGAAAGAAGTCAATTAAAAAAATCAATATTTTTGACTGTTAGCATGTAACTGTTCTATTTGATGATGGAGTCACACAAAAATTTATTTCTTCCAAATTTCAAGGGCCCTTTCAAATAGCTGAAAAGCATTTTACCAGTAGAAAAGTTAAGGAAGTTTCTTAGTTACAAGCTGTATGCAGTGGCCAGATATATGAAGTTGCTTAAAGCCTAGGGAAACTGTTTTTTTCATCAGATTTCTAGCATTCTGGGCTAAAAATATTTTCTTTTGATTTTTGAGGACATGAAAGTACACCATATTTGAAACCCTCAAGAAGCTAAATGTGCTTAGTAACAATGTCATTTTAGTAATACATCTCTAAGTCAACAGTTATTCTACAACCTTCAGTAAAACAGGCTTCTGGTTCAAGAGCTTCTTCACTTTCAATTTCTGCTTGCTCGCCCTCTCCAGGAGGAGCAATATCAACAGTGCTGCCTTCTGATGAGCTTGATGCATTTAGTTTCTGTAAGTAAAGTTCCACAGAACAATTTTTTCTCATTAGATACATATTCTGTAAAAAAATGGTACTGAATCAAATCATGCCAGTCTAACTTTTAAAGAACGACAAATTTATAAATATGCATTATTAAAAGTAAAACCACAGTAATGACATGTAAATTTTATCCTGTTTCCCAGACATAGTGTTTGTAAATTGTTTTCAGTTGACTGTACTGTTGTAATTATTTCATCCAAAATACTTTCTCCTTGACTGTGAAATAAGGCTTGTAATCAGAAAGCAACATTAAAGAAATCGTGGCAGTGAAATTCATCTGATCTATCACATGTAGTAGTTGTACACAGGAATTTCACAAGGGATGTAAAATGTACCTCTCACTTAAATACTTTAAATGCTGCAGGTACTGACGTAACAAAAGGGCATTCCAGCGCTGGGCAGATTTGTGCACAACTAATCGTGTCCTTTGACCTTTGGAGGAAGGTCATATTTAGAAAGTATGAAGACCTTTCTACACAATTTTGTTGAGAGAGTGCTTAATATCAACAACCTGTCACATTTAGTTTTCAAGATAGTGATATTTTTAGAATAGGAAAATCCCATACTGTTTAGATTTTGTAACAAATAATAAACAGTAACTTGTTTCTTGAAAGAGGCACTTCCATGTATTCTCTTCTTCTTCGGAGACACTGCTGAAAATTAAAACTAGTTATTTAACTCTTCAGCTGAAACCCACTCTCTTCAGGAAAATGTATTGGCAGCTAGGGCCTTTTCTGCCAGAAATGAAGTGGCACATATATCTTAATACAGCTTTGGAAGGATTATTTCCACATATTTAACTTTTACATGATGTGAATGAAGTTTTACAAAAAATCATGTTGAATGATGGATAATTTCAGGGATAATTTTCAAGAAGCTGCCTTTTGACAACACAATATGTAGTCAATATAAGGTCTCTCAGACCTCAGGTCCTCATGGTTGTTGCTGCACTGTGACCAAAAATACTGTGTTAAACTTCTCATATTGCACTTCCTCTATAATTTCTGAAATTTATATATGTAAAATAGTTCCAGCCATGTTGCCTCTAAATGGAATAATTTTATTACTGGTCATGTAAATCTGTGAGTCTGAGTTAAAATACTGTGTATCTCAATGTGAGAATATTTTAAATTTCACATTCTCTATTACATTAACAACAAAAATACCCAGTAATGTACACTGCATTAAACATTATTAGCACACCAACTTATTATCCACACATAAGGCTGTCTCTCTTTTAAAAATAATACTGTTGAATTAACTCTCTTCTTGTATATCATGGAAATACTAAGGAATATGAAACCTTCCATTGGAATGATAGGCAGTTTCTTCATTAAATAAAACTGAAATATTGTAAAAGTAATTTTCTGTCGCAATCAACTTAGGAAAAGTAAAATTAATTCATGGCCTGATCCACCATCATTAAATAAATTATTGACTTAATAGTAGCAAGATAAAGGTTCATAGATAGTAGGCATCCATTATAAATCTGAGAGCAAATTAAAAGGCAGTCAAATTTTTAACTGCATCTTCCCATGTAAACTCTGCTGCAGATAGTTCTGTCAGCATAGCTGCTAATACCAAGTGACAGAAGTGCAACTTCTAATCAGTACAAACAAAAACTACTATAATTCTTTTCAGTAATTTTCACATAAATACTCTCTTCATTATTTTTCATGTAATCTCAAACAACTGCATTATTAAGAGAAAAACATCATTACTTAATAAAACTCCTCTTCTTTGCTTCAAGACCCTAAATTAGGAAAGAACCAATACATTTTTAAATAAGGTGACATTAATGATATTCTTTCTAGCAATAAAGCTAATAAAACTAATAGGAAGCTCAAGATACATGATGGATTAGCACAATCTTCTTATCAGCTCATAAATGTGATTATTAGCCTCTACAATACACCATGCCCTGTAAATATTTATTTGCATCTTCAATGATATCACATTTTCCTTTATAAGGAAACATTTGAAAGCAATTGCTTATGATGCAGCATTCTCAAGGCCTGAATCAGCAAAACAACATGCTTGACTAGAGCAGAAGCCTGAGCAATACTGTGGAAATCACACACAAAAATAAAAGAAACAATCCGACTACCTCAGTGGGATTATATTTTTCTGAAAACAGTATTGTAAATATTATTGTGTAGGATATAAAAGAAAAAAATGCTTCATCACCCACCCAGATACTTGGTTAATGTATGTACAATCAGCCTCCATAATGTTCTTTCAGAGCAGTGCATCTCTTATCAACAGCTTCGATCATTAAAACAAGCTTAGACCAACAGCGTGTTAATGTGCCCATTTACAAGAAAATGCATTCACTTAAGACCCAGTCTTGCTCTCATTTGATTCTATTCTAAATTTCAATAAGAGCAAGAGCAGGCTACTGAAGTTTTAAGCTTTACAAACGGCTTCATGATTCAAGTGACAATAAAATAAAAGGATTCAGCCATTACAAATTGCCTTTAGTAATTCAGCCATGTGGTTTTATCTTTTCAGTCTTGAAAGCTGCACTGTAATTGAGTGAAAAAATATAAAATAATGGAGATTGATGATTCCAAAGTGATTCTAAACTGGCTTTACATCTCAGATCTTCTGACCTTCGACTTTTATAAAATGTTAGAATATAATTTTAAAATCTCCTTGGAGTTTTATTTGGTGTTTGAAGCATATCTTGGTTAAAATTTGTTCGTTAAAATCTGAGAATTTTCAGAATACCCACCAATATTAATGTTTTTAGCATCTCTGGGCAATTTAGACCATAATAGGTAGATCATGCCACACTATAATCAAATAAATAAAATTAACCACTTGGTGATCCTTTTGAAGCCAGTGAAACTCTGCCTGAAGGAAAACAGCTTTCAATCCTACTACAGGACTGAAATCTCAATCCCCTCCAAATTTTGATGCCTCGTTTTACTAGAATCATTTAACCTCCTTAGTTTCACATAACTTTGGCTCCTGTGTTATAATTGCTGTCACTATTCTTGAAGGCTTCAATGGCATGTTTGCCTATAATGAAAAAAATCCCTAGGATAAATAGATAGAAGTGCAATTTTATAAAAATGGTGTTGACTACTCCCTAGACTTGCTAATTTACACAAATGAGTCCCCCAACTCATTTATGGAACGCTATCGTGAAACACATTCCAAGCACCTCTATTTATAAAGGGGTTTAAGAAAAGAGAAGTTGCCAAATGTTTAGCTTTCGATAGTTCTTTAGGGAGAGTTTTTTGCTAGGTATAATTTTAGCAGTTATGAAATAGTTTGCTTTGCTACCAGTTTATAAAACTCAAGATATGCACTGTTCAAATGAATATAGTGTGTAGTTCGTAGCATCTTGAAGATCTGCATTACAGTGCATTGTAGATTTAAAAGTATAACTGTAATTTTTAGATCAGTAGCTACTTCAATAATTCAAATGTTATTCATTAAGGAGTTGAACTCATGGCAGAAATTATTTCAAAATATTTAACACATTTCATTGAATATTTACATTTATAAGGGCTGAATCAAAAAGGGTTGTTTTTATTTTTTAAAAACTATGCATGCTCCCTTTTTCTTTGGCTTCTTTAGCATAAAACATTCCAGTACTTTTATGATCCATACTTCAAAACCTGAAGAGCATGCAGTTATTGCTAAATACTGTATTTAAATATTCAGAAAAACCATTAGCGGAGTTAAAAAATGTATGTTGGGTTTGCCAATCCCACCTGACCATGCTGTGACTTGAGTCCCATGACTCAGCAGAGAGCAGCTGTGCATGTTTCTACTCTTGCAATGAATAGGGAAGGTACATAGCTGAATAGCATGCAGGCCAGTCAAAATCCATTAAAAAGTGATTATATATATATATACATATATATGTATAACTTGCTTAGGTAACCTGTGGGAAAGTGGTGACACGTTGCTCTACCTGGTTAAAAAGCACCAGAGCTGCATTCTTGATTGCTCCAGCTTGGTTTTACCCCTGTGAGAAGTAAGAATGGTAGGTAGTGAAGTTCAATACACAGGATCACTAGTTTTTCTCTTTTTGGAATCTCTAATTCAAACATGGCTTTAACACAATTAAAACATAATTATTAATATTTTATTATTAGCTGGAAAAAGGGAAATACATACCACCTGAAATGTTCAACAAACTTTTCTACAGAACTTGTTAGTTTATTTTAGAGAAATTAGATATATGGAAGCTAGAACTACTAATCTGCACACAAAAATTCTGATTCATAAATAAAAGTGGAATGAATAAAATTAACTAAGACATGGTTAGCAGATCTGGAAACTATTCCTGTATTTATATAGTCCTCAATGCTTATTAATAAAAATGTTAAGGGTTTTGTTTATTTCATGTCCTAGTCTTTGTTTAACTGACTATGTGATTACCTCTTTTATTTGAAAAATATGTACATACAGGAAGCAAAATACTTTGAAGATGTATGCCTTCCCATTCCTCCTTCACTCTCTAATAATAGTAGAGTGCCTTGGTCTTGATGAAAATAAATATCTTTAATTTCTCTTCAACTCAAATGTGATGAATTATCACATTGTGTAAAGTTTATAGTTCAGATTTAGTATGCTATACACTTCTAAATCTATAATCTTTATCTCATTGTTTCAAATGAGGATTGTATCAGTGCCTGGACAGTGGAACGTCCGTGTATCCAGAGATATGGTTTAAATCATTAACCACAGCTAGTCTATAACTTAAATAATTTGTCACTTCTGAAGATACTCTCCCAGAACTAGTCAGTTTTAGGAAAAAAATTACTATTGCTGGGCATTTTAAACATGATTTTAAAAAAATCCAACAAATTGATGAAGTCCTGCTGAGTCTGTTTTGGCTAAGAAATTTATTGAAGCCCTATGAAGATGCTTATCTTTTTGGAATGCAATAACTCTGTTCTTGTCTTTTTCACTTCATCTAGAGACAAAGGCCCTGATGAAGCCAATCAGAAAACAGAATTTATTAATAGTTTTCAAAATTCAGTAGACTCGATGATGAAGGATATATTTAATTTTATCAAAATCATTTGTTGTGTTCATCAAAAGTCTATTGACTAGTCTTATTTCTCCAATCTGAATTTGTATTTACTGTTCATACCCTGTAGATAGAAAGGTTTTTGCAATGGTGAATGACTGAGGCCTGTAGGTATATGTATTTCCTTAGTTGTAAAAAAAGTTTTCCATAACTGAGAAGTATATTTGAAATTATTTTTCGATGTTGAAATATAAAACTATATTTATAGAGCTGTCAATCAGCTCTAACAAACAGTGGTTAAGTTGTATACAAGATACAATAGTTAGGAGTCTTATGTTTGGCAAGATTAGCATATTTACTCATTTCACAATAAAACCAGCATCCACATGCTAATGTAAAAACCAACCAAATAATCCCCTTCAGCTATTTCTAATTCATTTATCTTCAAAGGTAATGATCTTGAGTATCTTTTCTTCAGAGCAGAAATCTGTTTCTTTTCTGATGATTATCTCATTGGGTATTGCACTTCTCTTTTCTGATAATTAAAAAAATCTTCCTTCAATGTATCAATGAAATGTTCACTTCTTGCAGGTACTTTCAGCCAATTATTCCTCTAAAGCAGTGAGTAACTTTATAATATAAGTTATCGTTCATCCAAAAAGAGGTGTCCTCAAATTTCTAGTTATATGTATTAGAAATTGCAATCAGGTTCTAGAATAGGTTCTGGCAGATTTTGGAAGTGATTAACTTGCAAATTAATTAGAAAGGGTTTCCATGAAGACATGAATGGGAGGTGGGGGGGGAAGAAAAAGAAAAGAGCTAGCCTTCGAAACAATGATCGATGACTGGAGTTATTTTCTACTACAGTGTGTATGATTAAAAAAATAGGAAATATTACAATTTATTCCTCAGTCACCCACAATTACAATGTCTATAGTAATTAACCTTCTCCTGGCACATTCCTCAGGAAAAGACAGGCTATGCCCCTCTTCTAGCATAACAGACTTCAAATAATCATTCTGCTCCTAACATCAGTGACAGTCAGTAAGACACTGGAGGAAAAAAAAATTCATTTTACAGTTCCTGTGCAGATCTAGCTTTCCACAGCTCTGTGGTTAAATAAAATGTTATTATAGGGGATACCTCCTCAGGGTATTTTAAGTGCTAAGTACTGCCACAGTTAAGGCAGGGAAAGTTCTGCCCCATCTCTTACCCCTCCTTTTGTAGACCAGGCCTTCTAGCAGGAATGTTTTCCCAGTGGGACCCCTTGAGAGGCAAAACAAAGCAAGTGATGGTATACTGTTCTAGAGAGGTAACTTAAACACTGCACCAATGTACTCTTTATCTTCCTCAAAAGACAATCAGAAGGCAGCAAAAGATTCAGCAATACTCTTGACTTGGTAGAAGACTGGGAAACTTCACAAATTCCTGTCACATGCCAGAACTTCCAAATCCAGTGGATTTTTATGCACTCAATAAAATAACCCCACTTTATTCTTTCCATAGAAATCATCCAGAAGGAATGGAATAAGGAATCCAGAGGAGAAAGTGAAATTAATACAGAATTCACAATTTTCAGGATACTGTCTGATTACTGTTCACAATATGCACATTTGCACTGTATGAATACATGTAAGGCAGTTGAACAATAGAGAGTTGTGTGTGAGCAGAACTTGATGGAAGCATTATTGTTTCAGTTTCCCAATGGTATTGACTAGTACAGTCTATGAAAATGCTGAAACAGCATACAAGTCCTAAACCTATCTTAACCCTATTGAAAACTTCTCCACAATTTCTTAATATAAATACCATCCATCATTTACTGCTGGATTTCCTACAGCTACATGAAATTTTCACTGTCAAATTGCTTATTAATTAGTCTTCCTGAAGACATATAGATACCAGTCCATTAAAAAAGAGCAAAATCCCTTTTGATTTATTACTGTCCAGAATCTTCAGGATGGCCTTAGATGATAAAGATACAATGCCTGAACCAGGCAAAGCTGGGGTTGAGCAGAGAAATTGACTTATGAAAGTCACCTTGAAATTGGCATTCAGAAGTGGTCAGCAACTGACAATGGGCTTTTACTCCATTTTCTTGGAGTGCACATACATCACATATTCACCCGGAAAGCAGAGGAGTTTCTGCCTTTGCATTGCATTTAGTTTTTTCCTCAGCTGTTCTGATAGAATATATGACAGTACATTGTGAACTGAGCCATTCAATCTCCCTTAGAGGAGAAATAAACCAGTAATACCTCTGGCACAACCAGTGACCTAACTTCTCTGAGGCAAAGTGGCAAAGATTAGCCAGGTGTGGATGGGAACTTCCCAAGTTCCTTCAGTGCAGAGGCTAACGTCACGTAACTACAAATTCAGTATTTGCACAGCCCCCCCAATGTTCTAATGCATACTACAAACCTTTTAAAAAGTAACATATACAGGAAATTTTTAGGCTTGTAACTTGTCGGAGTTAATAGGAAGGCACTCATTTCTGTATTTATCAAAGTTAGCCACAAGGACAGAAGAAAATGTATAGTGTAATGTCATTTAAAAAAACATCAGAATATATGAAAGGACATAGAAAACTTTGCAAAAGGTTCATTGGAAATGAAAACCAAATTTTATTAGATCAGCTTATATGAAAAATACTTAACTCTCAGACCCAGAATCACTCTTAATATTTTGGGGATTTTTTTAATACTAGTTTATCTCTTAATTTACACTGCTTTACACTTCCTGTCTCTCTTATATTCTAATTTTACCATGGATAAGCACTACTGCTGTACTATCTTATACATCTGCACTGAAACTGTTTGTCTCATAACTGAGCAACTCAGATGATAGAATACTTTACTCTTCATCTTACAATTGTTACACAGAGCAACATTTTTTGCAGGTGCAAATAAACACACACTCTTGATGTTCTTTGGCAAAACCCTCATACCATGATTAACTGGCTCATGGCTGTGTATCAGTGTAATGTGGTGAAGTTTGATATTGCTGAGGAATACATCATTATGGCAGATATGCTAGATATACAGCTATGATAAAGTCAGGAATGCAGGGCTTCTTTGTAGGAGAGCTTTCTTCATGGTAAACAAACTCTTTTGGACTAATGAGTAATTACATAACATCACAGCTACTAATCTAATTGAAAACAAATTTATCCATGGTTCCTGATCCTTTAAACCTCAATGTTCCTAAATTTCTAATGGCACTGAAAATAATTAGATTCTGCTAATGCATTTATTAGCTTGTCATTGATCACTACCCCAATACACAAAGTTTTCCTCGAATACCATTAGCACCTGTTCACTGTGGCATTTGAGCCACTTAGATTTTGAAACACATGGCATTGACTTTTTAGACCAACTTCTGCCACTTTGCACAATAATAACAGCAGAACAACTTTAAATAAGCTGTTTCTGCATGCATCTGTATTACAAGGTCATTCTGCCTTCTACTCTTATTCCATGCATTCTTATCACATGTAGGTACTACAGAAAATACTTTATCAAGTGTTTACTAGTACTAAAGCCTCATAAAACTGTGAAAGAAATATTAATATTTAAAATAAAATATATTCCAAATTTTAATTTAAAAAATACTAAAAATGTAAACTCTAAGGATCCTCTACTATACCATTATATATTTTTTCTTGAATAATACATAAAATTCTAAAACATAAAATATATTACATGGGATAATTTACAGTTAAAAAAAACTCTAAATATGTAACTAAAACATATAAATGCATGATTACAATTTAATAATTTTTAAGATATGAAAAATCCTACCTGTTTGCTTTCTTCCATATCAGATTCGCTGCTAAATTCTTCTGTATTTAAATTTTCAAAATCTGATTCTCCAAGTGCAATGGGCACTGTCACAGTCAGACCTGGGTTGTTTATGAATGACATGTAATCATTTTCATCAATTACATATTTTTCCACACTGCTGCCTGTGCCTACACCACTGGTGGTTCCATTCCCGTCTTTGAGATAATTCAGGTCTTTGCTAATTTCAACGGCAGTATGATTGGAAATGCAGCTGTCTTTCTTGTTGTTTAGCTCTTCAAGTGCTTTGATTTCCTCTAAAGATTTCTGCTTTCTAACAAAGGCTTTTCGGATGAACTCCCGTATCTTTTTTTTAACATAATCTATGCCTTTCTGAATCCTTGCCACAGCAATCTGGAGATTGTTCATTTCATTATCATCATCTGTAGCAGCAAGGTTGTCTGAACTAAAAGAGCTCAGCAGCAAGGCCAGAAATAGGTTCAATACCTAAAAGATGAGAGAATACAGCTATGTAGTAAATACAATCATATCAGAAGTGTTAAATTTGGCAGTGCTAGGTTAACAGTTGTACTTGTGCTAGGTTAACAGTTGTACTTGATGATCTCAAAGGCCTTTTCCAATGTAAATGATTCTATGATTCTAAAAAAATCAGTAGAGCAGGTTGCAGATCATAAATAACTTTTTGGGGCTCTGCACATTTTTTGCTGGTAAAATGTCAAGATTGCAAGGTCAGGTAAATGACTAAGATACAAAAATTTTGAATTCTACTTTATAAAAAATTTAAATCATGTTAAAAATATCACTAAAGGAAGAGAATTTAGACAGGAAATTTTGACTGCAAATTTTAGCAGGAGAGGAAACTTAAAAATAAAGTAGAAGTGTAAATGGTAGAAGTGTAAATTTTACATTTAAGTTGTCAGCTTGAATTTATACTTTTCTATAAAGGTTTCTTGTACACTCTTGAGTTAGAAGCTTTTTTACGCCTTTTTAAGCTGGATGACAAATCACTCTGGGGTTTATTTTTTTTTTTTATACATAAACAATCCAGAAGGTTCAGTACTAAAAATTAAACAGCACCTCTAAATTAGCTGCAGTGCTTCCATGACAGGATGTTGGAATGGACATTTAAGTTTCCTTCTAAATGCTTGTACCCATAGTAGGGGTACTTCAGTGTACAGAAACATATGAAAAAGAGGAAAAGGGAATCTTCAAATGTTTTTACCCAAAATTTAGCACATTCAGATTAATTTTTAATTCCAAACAGAAGGATGACAAACATTTTCATTGCCTAGCTGTAAGTCCTGCACATCTGCAGCAGAGTTAATGTTAAAAAAAATGTTCATCACGTACCACTAGGTTTCCAATCACCATGACTAGCATGAAAACAATAAGGCACATGGTTTGGCCTGCAACCTCCATGCAGTCCCACATGGTTTCTATCCATTCCCCACACAGCACTCGGAATACAATCAGGAAAGAGTGGAAAAAGTCGTGCATGTGCCAGCGAGGGAGCACACAGTCACTGGAGATCTTGCAGACGCATTCCTTGTAGCTCTTCCCAAAGAGCTGCATCCCAACCACAGCGAAAATGAACACAATGATGGCCAGCACCAGGGTCAGGTTCCCCAGAGCCCCCACTGAGTTGCCAATAATCTTAATCAGCATATTTAGAGTTGGCCAAGATTTTGCCAATTTGAAAACTCGAAGCTGCAAAACAAAAACACAGATGAACCTTTAGTGTTAGTTACAAAATAGAAGCTAGGTCCGAGTTGTTTAGCAGAGCATACCAATTTCTGTACATTAATTTGTTCTTCAGTAGTACCACATTATTATTTTAATATAAAGCAGGGAACATGGAGTATTTGTCAAAAATGCATTGTTTATAATTTCATTTCAGTGATGCACGTAGTAAAAAAAGTAGTAATTTGTGTTTGTATGGCATTTTATTTTACTATTTTTAAACGTCCAGTTACAGCTCATTCTTGAACAATTCTTAAAGACATGTTAGAAGTTTCTGCACTTTCCATCACTGTCACTACACCTTTCCTGGCTTAGTTCCATATTCCCTCAGCACTACATTAGGCCTTCCATGCTTAGATAGAGGCCATTTTTTAAAGCAAAAGCTTAAGTTGATGCAGACATTGCAATGCCCATTCAAATCATAATTATTACCTTAAAAGTAATATTCATTACCCAAACTATTAGGTTATGTGAAGTTGAGTACCATTGCAAGTAGTGCTAAATGGGTCAGTTCTTCCTACTCTGTGTATTCGGAGATAAGGTTTTGAAGTAATGTGGTAACTATTGGTAATAAAGGCTTTTAAATCATTAATCTTGTACCTCCAGTAAACACAGTTTTTGCATGATACTAGTTGTTATAAAAAAATACATTTCTAGTAGAAACTCAATAATACTTTGATTTAAATGTTATCCTAAAGTCAGATTGTTATGATTCTGTTATATGTAGTGGAGTGACTAAAGTTTATTGTTGGTGCCCATTAAAATAAATGTGAAGAGAGGATCTGCTTAAGTTCTTTACAAGTACCACAAAGTAATGTTCACAATATAAAGACTAAAAATTTCATTATTATTTTTGCTGGTAACAATATGTATGTTTTCACAGATATTCATCTTTTATTATTCTTTATGAAGTCCGTGTAAAGATTCACAAAATTCTGAAAAGGTAGCTATTAGTGTTATGTTGGCAAAGGATACCAGTTGGATAGATGATTGATAGGATAATTTGATACTAAAAGGTATCAAACACCTTAAATTTTTACTTAACAAACATGGCTTGAAAATTAGGCACATATGAAAAATAATGTGATTCATTAAAGTATTTAATATATATTTACAAAATATGCTAATTATTGCAGGCACCAGCATTTTTATTTTTTGAGTGACATAATTGCATGCAAATATTTAATTATCAAGGAACTTACCAGTCTGAATGACCGAAGAACAGATAATCCTTCAACATTTGCAAGACCAAGCTCCATTAAACTAAGGCTAACGATAATACCATCAAAAATATTCCAGCCTTCTTGGAAATAATAATAAGGGTCCATGGCAATAATCTTTAGTACCATTTCTGCTGTAAATATCCCAGTGAATACCTAAAACAAAACGTAATGAATTGTTATGAGAAATTCATATACCTGAAGAATTTTTTTAATCCAATGAGTTCTCTTACCTGTTACTATAAAAAACAACTGATTGCTATCTCCAAATGGCATCTAAGTATTTCTAAACACTAAAAACAAGTAACTAAATCAGGATTTATATTTGGACAGAGATTTAATAAACATATAAAAAGCTATTGACCAGTCAGCAGTTCAGCTCCCTGGTATGTGCTGGACTATCCACTCAGCAGATGATGTGATGTGACCTGGTGTTTTAAGTCCTGTTTGATGAGGAGGGTTCCAGTAAGAAGACTTGACAGCAAGTATTTTCCTAGCTTACAGTCTAAAAAGATGATAGTCTCTAATGTCAGACTGTCTAAGCACAGACTCTCTAAAGTCTGTCTTGACAGATAGACAGGGGAAGACAGGGGAAGTTGGAGATTCTTGTCCCATGCTTTTTGTAAGAATATAGAGGTTTCACATGTAGTTACCAAGCTGTATGATGCCTATTTCCTTTTAGGAAAATGCACTTCAGGGTGATAATGTTATTTGAAATATCTCTAAGTGCCAAATGTGAAATTATCAATGCATCTTAGTGTTTTTAAGTCCAGAATTTAACTCAACACTTTCTTGCAGTGCGTAGTGATCAGTGGTTTGTGCAGCACCACAAAAAGTTTGGGAGCATGTATTTTTTGTAAAAGTATTTTCACTGCAGTGTAATTGAAAAAAAAAATTCCAAGAGAAATTATTGATTTGAATATTTTATCAATTTTGTACAGAAAAAAATGATGTTATATCAGTACCATGGCAAAAATAGCATAATCTACCTTAACATTTGAAATAAAAAATCAAAGGTAGATGTCAAGAAATCTGACATTCCAGTGAAGACTGCCCTTCCACACACATTCATTTATTCCATTATAGTAGTTAAAAACGTATATTCATAAAAGATAAAGGCTCCAGTAAGAAAAATCCTTTTACCTGTGAAAATCATAAGTACCATTTCTAAATTGATTATAAAAAGATATTCTGGAATAAATTTAAACAAATACAATATATTTATAAGTTTCTTCTTTTAGAAAAGGGCATTTTTACATCAAGTAGTGCAAGATAAACTACTTACCAGGTTCCCCACAGAAAGGACACTGCTAAACTGTTCTGTCATTGGGTAATGTTCCATGGCCATGAACAAGGTGTTTAAAACAATGCAAATAGTTATAGCAAGATCAACAAATGGATCCATCACAACTAAATTGACGACATGCTTTACTTTTAACCATGGACTCCAACAATCCCAGATCAAGAATGTGTTTGCAAATCTGTACCAGCATGGTGGGCATTTCTGTCTGGATTCTTCAAGCTCTGGAAAAAACCAGAAAAAAATGAGTATTACAAATGTATCTTCTGGAAGCTCTTGTTTAAAATACTGGAGAAGATTATATCAATCAAATAAACTGCTCTCACTAACATGAGATTTCCCATGTTTATCTACCTTAATATAAGCCATTTAATTTATTTAAGATCCTCTACCACCAGTGGATGGTGAAGTCTATTCACTAAAGAGTAAATCATCTGATATAAATGTCTAAAGGGAGAAATGTGTTTGTCTTTCCCAGGAGAGAAAGACAAACACATTTGTGGTTGTGTGTACTAGGGAGAATCTAGACATTTAGTTTAGGTTACTTAACTTGCTTACAGCAGATATCTTAATTTCAGATATTAAAAGTCAACATGAATCCTTTATGAATCTTATACCAATCCTTTATGAAGCTTATACCAATATAAACTATATTTTCTGTTTGAGGCTCTGGTAATCCCCTAGATACTATTATTTTTTCTCTATTAGTCCACAAAGGTAATATTTTGGAAGGTGTCATGAAACATGATTAACCATTCAGATTGTGTAAATGACCTTAGAAATGCTCAAAAGCCCTTTGTATTTAATGTTCAGAGATTCCACATGCCAGTTTCACATTTACAAAGAAAATTATGTAAATAATTACTCTGTACATGTAGTTAAGAGAACTTCACTGAACTGCCTGTCAGATAAAATGCACTAAATACCTTCCATTGTATTTGTAAGTATGCTGGCTATGCTCATTGCTCTTTGTCTTGCAGCAGACTCTTCCAGCATTTCCATGGAAATTTGATATGAACTCAGTCTTCTTTTCCTTATTTCTGTTTCTGTAGTGGTGCCCTGTAAATGAAATACTGAGGAATTAGACCATCCTTTTCAACAGCCAATTAACAGTATTTACTGCATAAATATTGTAGAGATAATCAAATCAGATTTGTGCAATGTACCATGTTTTTCACTGAATATTTCTGTTCTTGTCAGTATTTCTTCTTCATTGAGGGACTCAGTGGGAATTTTCTACAGTGATACAAATAATCAACTGCAGGACCCAATACCAACGCAGTGTGGGACCAAAGGTGGTTCACCTTCAGTAATTTAAATGACTGGCTGAACGAAATTTTTGCTTGGTACCTCCTTGATACTGATAATTGTAATAGTAATAATAAGATTTTTTTTTAATTACTATAGATGAAAAAGGCTTTCTTATTTGAATATTTGAAAGAACATCTTAATTTACAGAAGTCTGAAACTGAGACTAAAATGTTATATAATTTCAAAGGTAGACAGGAATTGTACATATTTTTCTCATGAAAGGTATGAGAAAAAAGTCCTTGAGAAGAATTCAGAAAGGAGTATTTCTAATAACTATCATGACAGTAGAAGCCACCTTTTATTTCATTTTATAGGAGTTTTCCTATACATATTTCCAAGCTATAGCCTTATTTATATATTGAATATCTACTTTGTTGAAGTGAAACTATGTACAAATTGTCAAATTCAATTAATCTTTCTTTTCTATGTGTAGATCTCTTGCTGAAAGAAAGAATATCAGACTTTATGAAGGCTTAGACATAGAAGGTTGAGGATTTTTTTCCTTTATGTTGTCTTATTTAGAAACTATTGCAAATTATTTCTTTGAGAAATTATAAGGAAGGCAGAGATGAGGAATAAGAGAAAATTCTGTGCCTAACACAAACTGTAATAAATACTGGCTTACTTACAATTACCTCTGGTATAAGCTGACCAGTAGGTGAAGTCAGAGTTGAAGGTCCTCCAACCAAGGAAACCACTCCATTGCAATCCACAGTGCTGTGCATCTTCCCATTCACTGGAAGGGCTGGTATCATTCTAGACGACACACTGGCCTGACTAATGTTACTGTTGCGCCTCTCTCCATGTCGATTTGGAACAAAGAGAGAATCTCTTCTGCTCTCATTGTCTTCAAGAGTGCTGTGTTCATCATCAGCAAAGTCATTTTCAGATCCTATATCCTTTGCATGACCTCTGAAACTGAAAATGCTGGTTTTGCTGTTGCGTCTTGGTGAGAACAGAGAACCACGAATGCTTAACAAAGACTGTAAAAGATTTAAAACAAACCAAACAAAATAGCATCAGAACTGAAGTTGTAAGTTCTTGGCTTTTCAAAGAATATTTACAGTGCTGGAGGAAGGATAGTCACTTTTTTCTTCCATGGTATAAGTGTGTCCACTAGGGGAATGTGTTCACCAGGGGACCTGAAGCAGAGGGGAAAAATTCTTTTAAGGTAATGTAGCATGACTGAGGAAAAGTTGTGCAGAAGATGTAAGCAAGGTTGAACAGTTCTGAGTGAAGAAGGTGCATTGAACTGGCATGGACTGTGCTGGAAACAGTTTTCAATATCACTATCAAAATTTTGAAGGTACTTGTCTTTTATTCCTTCAATTACAGTACAGAGCTAAAAGTCTTTTACTTCTCTTCTTTATCCCCTGGATTCCCTAGGGATAACAACTTATAATGCTCACCCATCATTTTATTCTGTTTTATTTGGTAGATGCAGAAGTGATCTTAAGTTTGCCATTGAAATCCCTCTAAACTGATGTAAGGAACTTGACTGACCTCTTCCCAATAGTCTCAAGAGTGAGGGAACAGTATCTAGAAGACAGGGGGGGCAGCTTGGGGAAGCTGTGGAGATACAGCAGCAGCACTCTTAGGCATAGCTCTCCGGGGGCCATAGCAGGTTGCACACACCTGCCCGAAGGTATCACTTTGCTATCAGGCCACTCAAAGAGAGTATTCACCAGGGACACTGTTACCTAAAGATATTTCATTACAAGTGAGAAAAAGAAATCAGTGGTTGTTGGTAATTCATCTTTTAATTACAGTAGAAGCCAGTTAATGAAGTGTTCTTCTCCCTTGCTACATATTTTATTAACAGCATTCATGAATAAATAAAATGAGTACTGATTGTGGAGAAAAGTAAACTGGCATTCAGCCTTCTTCAGTTCTGCATTTTTGCAAATCTTCACATCTTGGTTCATCAAAAACCTGGTTTGAGACTATTGTCACTTTTTCACTATTTCTGCAGGTGGAAAGTCCTCATATATAATAGCAACAGGTTTGATCCCAGCATAATTAAAGTGAAAGTGAAAACTATCCTATATTACACAAACCTATGTTAATATTTCAAAAATCAAACACTGCATATATACATCTATCAACCCATATGTATCTCTGTATATGCATGAGATGTATAAATTCATATATTATGTGTGTGCTGCACTGGTAGAACTGCCTGTTATAAAGTCTGACAGGTGTTTACCATTAAGAGATGTGTTTTTTCTGCTCTTACAGCTACACCAAATTTTAATAGTTTGGGCTGAAATTTTCTATGCTTGCTGTCAGCCTCAGGCTGAGTTACTTGAAAAATACCAGCCAAATTATTTTGCTAACCCATTTATGTAAACTTGGCTGGAGAAAAAGTGCTGTTTTGTTTATACTGAAAGAAAATTTTATTAAGAAAAACCCCTAGCTTCTATGGAACATGATACTGAATTCTGATAAAGCAGTAAACTAAATACTACACCCTTTTTACATTTTCTTGTAAATATATCTGGGCAACGTACAGTCCTTCAAAAAATGACATGCTCACCAGGGTTTCATCTGACTAGTAGTGATAGCCTTGTTCTTTTGGAGAATGTTCCCATGGCTGCTATGTTTTATTTGCAGGCCAATCTTTCCAATATGTGTTGCCACATTTTGAGTACAGCTAATTGGATCAGCCCCCTCAGGGATTTGGGAGAAGTAATGTCTGTTCTGCAAGTCCCTGCTGCATTGAGACAAAAGATATAAGCCAAAATGGCTGCAATTCTAACACATGTAGAGGTAGAAACATATGTGTCTAAATGCTATCAGAAAGTAAGGACTGAAAGGAAGGTTTGATTTTTCTGGCAAACTGCATCATTCATCTGCATATGGAATATGGTATCAAAGGACAAAACCTCTTACAGGGCCCAGCTGAGCAGATTATCTCCCCTTACCATTCTGCCTCGCTGTTTCATACTCTGGACTCTGTCTCACCAGGGAGATTCTCCATGGTTAACAAAACAAATGAGCTCTTCCTTTAGCAATTCTACTGTTTGCAATTCTTTTGCTCTTGGGGCACCTAAGTTTTAGTTGTATGCTGTCAACTTTTGCCCCAAAGCTTTGTTACAACTGAAAAAAAACCAACAAATCTTTCAAGAGCATCTTTAATGAAGAAGTTATTCCTAACCTGGGTGGTATGCATAGGTAAAAGTCATCTATTGGTTCAAATCACACATTATCATTTTGAAGAGATGCATTTTGATTCATTTTTTCTAAAAGTGCCATAACTGTTTGTAGCCTTGAAATAAGCCAAGATGGCACAGAATCATTTCAGCTGGAAAAGACCTCCAAGATCATCAAGCCCAAACTTTTGACTGATCATCACCTTGTCAACTAAACCATGGCACTGAATGCTATGTCCAGTCATTTCTTGAGCACTTCAAAGGACACTGACTACACCACCTCCCTACTCCCTGGGTAGTGCATTCTGATTTTTTACAATCCTTTCCATGGAGGAATTCCTCAAATTCCCCTGGCCATCTTGAGGCTATTTCCTCTTATCCTGTCACTGGTTGCCTGGGAGAAGAGGCTGACCTCCACCCAGCCACAATCTTTCAGGGAGTTGTAGAGTGATAAAGCACCCCCCAAGACTCTTCCAGGTTAAACACCCTCAGCTTCCTCAGCTTCTCCTCATAATTCACTCTCTAGACCTTCACCTTTCCTTCTCTGGACCTGCTCCAGTACCTCCATGACTGTCTTATACTGAGGCACCCAGGACTGGATGCAGGATTCAGGGTGCAGCCTCAACAGTGCCAAATACAGAGGGCATATCTTTGGGTGACATAAGTGACCCTTTGATTTATGGAAGTAGAGATAGAACTTTGTATTAAATTATTTCCAGAGGTCCTTCATAAACGACTTGTTTTCCTGTGATGGAAATTATTCTCCTGGATGCAAGGAGAATGATGAAATCATGATTTCTAATGATAAAGATCAGTATGACTAAATTGCTACACATACAGGCCCAGAAGATCCCTGTGTAGTTTGTCCTTATTGTGTCCTTATAGTGCTAGTTTTCTCATTATTTCACATTAAAGAAGCTAATTAAGGAAAATAATAGAAATTAACAGTAATGTGGGACTTCCTGTGCAGATATTTTGATGTCTGCTAAAAAGCTCACATATTTGTATAGTTTTGAAATGGATCCAGAACAGAAAATGTATGGTTCATTAATGCATATATACGAATACTAATCTTTCTTTCTCCAGTCTACTAGACACATCCTCAGAAATACATTTTCAGAAATGTGTTAACTAAGTTTACAAGTATTCTTGATATGTTGTTTTTATCCCTAATAGAATGGGTCAAACCATCTCAAACTTACACTGTGAATGGTACTACCACTTCCTTCCCTTACCATTTTCAAAACTTCCAATATGTAAACTTGCTGTAATATCAGTGAAAATAAAAGTAGAGTAGACACATGTGATTTAGTAAAATAGAGTGATGTACCTGGTGAGGAGAAGTGAGCCTTTTTTCATATGTCAGTTGACTTCCTTCTGTGGAGAAGCGGAAACTTTTCCTTCTGATACTGTCTTCTGACTCAGACTTGGGGAACTTATCGATATCTCCTTTGTCCTCTGCTTCAGACATTTCTTTCTGTCTTCTTTTCTTCCTTCTGTTTCTTCTTTCTTTAGCACTCTTTGAGCTCAACTTTGATGCTTCTGAAGAGCTTTCCAGGAGTTCTCCTAATCCCCCTACACCACTGAAATCTCTTGATGCAACTGATGCCGCTGCTACTGCTGCTGTTGTCTGTCAGGTTACAAAGCAAGGCATTCTTAGTAGGCCAAAAAAGAATAATTTTATAGTCTTTTATCAACTGTTTTTTATTATCACTGTGATAATAATGCTCTTCATACACTCTTGAGTGTGTAAATATACCCAAACCAATTGTACTGAAGATAAACCATTGAGTTGTACAGCTCCTCACTGTTTTGCAGCAAGAGTTATTTAAGCACCAACTTCAGCAGAACAATAGCTACACTATTTGTTAAAGAATTGCTGCACAAGACATTTGTCTGAAATAATGGAGTCATAAAACTGTTAACATAGTGCTTTTTCATGTATTTCGGACCTGTTATTCCATTTTCACTTTAGAAAAGCCCCACATCATAGTCTAATTCAGCGGATCCCTTCTGAGCTCTTACAGACAAAACTAATGCCTAACATTCATCCAGTGAGTTAATATATCAAATCCAGCTAGCACCCTGAAAGCAGTTGAATCCAGCCTTTCCTCACTGTCCTCACAGCAAGAATACTCTTTACCTTCCTTCTGCCTTTTCTGGTACCAGGCACAACCCCTAGACACATCTTCAAGTCCTCCCTCCCTCTTCACATTTCCCCTCCATATGTCTCACTGTATCTGCACTCTAAGTCTTTCTTACAGATATGCAAAGATACATTTATTTCCTGTTGGTGCTACAGCCTGAGAGAAGAAAATAGGTTTAAATTTCTCTTCTGTGTAAAGGGGTGAGATGACTTACTGGAGCAGAGTCATCCCAAAATTCAGGACCAGTATCTTTAACTACAGTGGTCAGCCTACTTGTTTTGCTTCATTAGAGAAAGGTTCTTTTAGTCATGAAAATAAAAAAGAATTGAGAGTATGTCCAGTGATGTTCCTCAAAAGAACTGTGGGAGATTGCGATGAAATTCTGTAGTGGAAATATCTTTAGGGAGATGATAGGCTGCTCATACCTTACAAAAAAGGGTGGTATGATAAATGGCAAGACACTCGAGTTATATAACAAAGATGACTAGTAATTATCCAGCTAAACATATTATATTCAATGCCAAGTATTTCAGGAATGATGACATACCTCTTTATAGCAGGAAAGGATAGTTTGAAAGCTCATAGTATGAATTAATATCTTTGCCACAATATACAACCCATGCTATACAAGTTGACTTGATACAGACTTTTTCTTCTAAATGGAGTATTAAAAGGATTCTGAAGGGTTTATAAAATAAAAAAGCAATACTCAAAATTTTGTCATACTGGTTCCAGTATATCATCCTTCAAAGACTCTAACAGAAACAAAGGCAGCAGATGCTGAGTCATCACCCATCTACTTCATATAGTAGCAGTAAAGGTCAAACAAGTGGAGCAATCCAAAGACCACTGTGATGACTTAAGTTTGTGGATGAATAAGTTTGGTGTCAAAGGAGTGAAGAGATGGGTCCCAAACTAATTTCTCCCTTAGCAACTAATTCAACACTTCAGTGATCCACCTTGTACTGCCTACTTTCATCTAATGTTTTCACAAACAAAAGAGATCCTGACTATAATGCTCTACTTATAATGAATGTAGTGGTCACTCATTAAAAAAAAAGATGACTTCCAGGGTCTTTATTCAGCCTTATTATAGTCTCTGTTTCTTAATCTATTCTTTCTAAGTCTGGATCAGCTTCATTTCCCCCCACTGTCAGATACACAAACATTTAGATGAGCCTGCTGATGTCTTTCAGTATAATGTGATTTAGTGCCTTTAAGGCATAAAACCACCAGATTTAAGAAAAACCCAGCAATATGCACTTTGATGACATTCAACCTTTCTACATTTGATTTTTGCAGGATTCTACTCTTTCTTTAGTAATTTGGAAGGGATAAAGTTTACTGACTAAAATAAAGATATGCTAATGAGATTTCACAAGTCATACATAAAGGTTTCTTTTCAAGCAAAAGACAGAGAGTTTGTCTTTTTGTTAGCACTTTATGGAGTCATTCTAACTCAGAGAAAGTACCTGTAAAGTATTACCAAAAATAGAGTTTCATAGGAGTTTCAAATTTGCTAGCATTTTATACACACTGTCCTGTTGAAAATGACTAAATGCTGTTTGAAAAGCAGTGGAAAATCAGCCCAGAAATTAAACAGATGGCTGACTCACAGACCTGAACTCCTGCATATATTTTACTTTCAGATAAGAAAAGCTTTCACAAAAGCATCTATTAAAATGCCTTTTTTCATAAAACTTTAAATAATTTTCTTTTCAAAGGAAACAAAGATTACTTGAAAAGAATTCTGAAGGAATATCTTTGTTATGAATATTGCTCATCTGGTTTTGAATATTGCTTGTCTGTTCTAAGAATACATAAACTTCTAATTTACTACAGTGTCAATTAGGGATTTTTAAATTAATCTTGCTGGATAGAAACCTAGAAGAACACTGATTACAATCCTTCTCTCTATTTGATGAATATTTGGGGGGAATTGTTAAGTACATCAAGGTTGGCAATTTTAACTGAGATGTAAACCAGAAGTAACATCACTAGACAAATAGATAGATAAATAGCATTTTTCATGCTATTTATAAGATCTGTAACATAAAAGGACCATTATTTATGACTACTTAAATCAGGTTTCTAGAGCCCTCTTATGAAAAACATTTTACAGTCTTTTCATGAATGAAGTAACATTCTTTTCTGTACCATTAGCTTGCTTTTTTTACTATTTGGTTAGTTCCTGGTTTTCATTGGCTATTTCCACTTTTACAACTTGCATGGTAAACATGCAAGACCTTTTATTTTCTTAAATTCACTGCACAATTTGTTTGTATTCTTAATAATAAAAGATCTTTTTCCTTGCCTTAGGAACAAGGTTGTTCAGAAAGTACAATTTCTATTACTACCTGAGCTTCTTCTTGCTGCTTCTTCAGTTGTTCCAGCATCTGTTGAAATTCTGCCTCTTTCTGCTCTGCTTCTTCCATTGTTGCTTGGTTCTGTTCTTCATAGGCCATGGCCACCACAGCCAGGATCAGGTTTATCAGATAGAAAGAGCCCAGAAAAATCACCAGAACAAAAAATATCATGTATGTCTTCCCAGCAGCACGCAGTGTCTAGAGAGTAGAAAGCATATTTATGTATTATCCCACAACTTATCTTTTTCAGCTCATGCAAAGACAAGCCTATTTATGTGCTTTTGGACATCACCAACAATTTACTATTTATGTCATAATAATTTCTTACCAGCTGATAGAGGTTTTCCCAGAAGTCCTGAGTCATCAGCCGAAACAGGGACAAAAAAGCCCAGCTGAAGGTGTCAAAACTTGTGTAGCCATAATTGGGGTTTCTGCCAGCTTTCACACATATATATCCTTCTGGGCATTGCCTATGTGAAATCAAACACAAGGACTTAGTCAAAACTTTTATTCCCTTCTAGAAAATACCTATTATTTTTTTGAAGACTATGGATTATTTTTCAACAGAAAATCCATAAATTACAATTAAATTAATTCAGAAAAAAAATTCCCAAGAATTTAACTAATAGCATAGTAAATGAAAGATATCCTTTTCATCCACTCACGGGTTGAAATTACCTTAATATTAAAATTCTCCTCAATTACATTTTGCAAATAGAATCTTTATTCCAAATTAATTATTTCCTGGCAGAAATAATTGCTAAAATGTTGTTAAGGTTACAGACAGATTAAAAAATATTGTTAGCTACATCCAATTGTAGTATAAGGGATTTCCCTCAATAATATTGATATGTATATTTTTAGTAAACCTCTTCACTGCTGCCAGTCAGGCATCCAAGTTCAGCTAACAATTCTAGGCATATAATTTGGCACATGTAAATAGCAGAATTTGCCAGAAGTGAGAGAGTTAGTCTTGAAAAATAGATTCAGTCATGAACTATGAAGTCACTGCTGTACTTTCTTGATATTTTCCATGTTCTCTTTCTCACTTTTAACTTTTGTTTCCTTCTGTTTTCTTCAATCAGTAAATCATCAAAGGAAACTTAAAAAAAATTCTTATCTTATCAATAATACCAACTTCATTTTCCAATCAAGCAGAAAAAAGGCTGTTAATTGCTATTTTGTTTAGCCAGAGTGTAAAAAATTTTGACTTCAGTAAGAAATTCTCACTTAGCTACAAAACTCCATAAGTTCTGTAACCCTGCTAAATATGGAGTTGCAACTGGATCTCATGTTATTTCTTTTCCTACAGAGCATAACACAGAATGTTTGAAAGGGTCTTACCCTGCATCAGAGCTATTACCACAAAGTAGGGCATCTCTTTGTCCTTCCAAAATGTAAAAATGAGCTGTGTAGAAAGCATTAGAAACATATATGAATAGATCAAATAAACCTGAAAACAATACAAAGTAAAATAAAAATAAATTGTGCTTAATCATAGTAACTAGCTATTGATCCTTTTATAGCTTGTTTAGGAGCCTTCCTGGTTGCTGTATTTTTTATTGTATGTATTAGATCTCTGTAAATCAGTGACTGTAAGCAGTTCTACATAAGTCAAAAATATAAACCCCTCAATGTTCTTACTTGGTCACAAAGAATTACACATTTTAGCCATAAATATATTAAAATAGTTATATCAGATATTCTTACTTTCATCTTCAATGTAATCCTTCCAGTTAAACGTGCTCACTGTCATGTTAACAAAAGTACCGTTTTCATTCATTGTGCTGTTAAAGTAGGAAATAATGTTTATCTCAAAAGTAGAATTGTCTGGAGGCCACTGCAGGCATTTATTCCTTAGGTTGCCCATGAACAGCTGCAGCCCTATCAGTGCAAATACACTCAGACAAAACACAGTGAGGATCATCACATCCGAGAGCTTCTTCACAGACTGAATCAGGGCTCCTACAATTGTCTTCAGGCCTGCAAAGAGAAAAGGTCCATAGAATTATCAAAGAGTATCTTTGCCCTTCCCATATAATTAAAGAGGCCATGCAGACACTTAAATATTTTTTATTTCTTAAAAGGTAAAGCTTCATGAGCAGCCTCAGAGCTTGTGAAGATGAATGAAAGAAAAAGATTCCTTTTTATGAATATGCAATGTACATATATTCCAATAAAATGAATATATAATATTCTCAAGCAGGAAACTTTATCAATCATGCTTTCCTGGTACAGATTTGATTGCATTTACTAATTTTTCTCTGTATTAAACATACTCCAAATAATTCAGTTGCCAGTTAATTCTAGACATGACTTCGTGACAGCGCAAAGCAGCATGAGATAGAATTGCTGGTAATTTAGAATGAAAAAATAGTTTGCATTTGATAAATTTTCCTGTGCATCATTTCTTTCCTTTTTGGTATCTTCTTTTGTTGTTAATTGCTTATTTTTAAGACTAATGTCATTTTTAAGTAGTTAAAAAAAGGAAAAATTTCATAACCAAGAACACCATAGCACTAAGCTTTTGTAATGTAGAGACAATTTGTCACAATAAAATGCAGAAAAACAAAGCAAAATAACCCATAGGCCTCATATTTTGTGTTTCATGCAAGACTCTGTTAAACTCAAAGGCTGATTTTGCAAAATAAAAGAAGCTAATGCTGAAAAGGCAAAGAATCATAAACTAAGTTAATGATCCACGCCTTTTTATTTCTTTTTTTTTTTTTTTTTTGGCAACATGAGCAGCAAACAGCAAGACTTATGCTCACAGGAAGTGAATTCAATGGAACGAAAGTCAGCCTCGGTGTTTAACCTCGCTCTCACCTGGAATGACTGATATTGTTTTCAAAGCTCGGAGAACTCTGAATGTTCTCAACGCTGAGACATTGCCCAGGTCCACAAACTCTGTCACATATCTGTAATAGGGGAGTTCACACACAAACACAATGACAGCACACAAATAACAGTTGGAGATACGAGGGGCCTAACACCTGACACCAACTACTTCTTACCTGGAATTACAGAAATAGTTTTCAAAGCTCTCAATACTCTGAAAGTTCGAAGAGCTGAAACATTGCCTAGGTTTACAAATTCTGTTACATACCTGTAGGATTAAATCACAGTTATTCAGAATTGAGGCAGAACTTATACTAATTATGTGGGTCTTCAAAACCTCTGTGGAAATACTAGCAATCATACTTCAGAATTTACCTGTCTCTTCAGTATATTTCACTTTAATAATTGTTTTCATCAATTTTGCTTAAATGTCATTGGAGTGAAATTCACTGACTGAACATCTAGTTCAACATTAGTTGAACTAATTAGCTTGTAATGGGACGGTAACATGAAGTCAAAGGGATGGCTTCATTTCTGGTGAGCAGAAAAATGTAGGCCATGAAATTAGTGTCCCTCAGCAGTAATTACACTAATGGCTGACACTCCATTTCAGTTTCTGCTGTATTTTACTTTGATTTATGAATACTAAAATGTGTTATACAGTGTCTAAGCTTCAAAGGTTGCAAAAATTAAATATGTTTAAGTAAATACATTTATTACAATAATATTTACCACTAATTTCATGCCCTAAAAGCTTAAAAAGTTCTTGAACCACTTACGCCATTAAAATGACACTGAAGTCAAGCCAGTTCCATGGATCTCGCAGAAAAGTAAAACCTTCTAGGCAGAAGCCCCTTGCAAGAATTTTGATAAGTGATTCAAAGGTGTAAATTCCAGTGAAAGTGTACCTGAAAATCATCAGAGCAGGAATAATGGATTTTTGCATGCTTACAGATAGTGCCGGTTTTTAGCAAAGATTACTTAGAAGAAAAAGTACTTTAAAGTGAAAGGAGTAAATTATTAACTTCACTTGCCCTAAATATTGTAGTTGCTGTTCAGTCTTTGTTGAAATTTGAACATGATATATATGCCACTCATTTTCTAAAAGGTTGGTTTAATCTCTGTTATTGTACTTACAAATAATTGCTGATTCTAGTATTTATGGAAACATTTCAGACTTTGATATTTATATATACATCCTTTGGCACTCACAGAGTTGCCTCTTTGCTTGCATTCATAAATCAAGTAGATGTCTAAGTGTTACAAAAACTGAAGAATTTTTTTTTATGTCTAAATCAGAGAGTTTTGTAAAAATCAATTCTGGATAATAGCTATACTAATGCTGTATTACATGTTTATTTCTTAAATAATCATCAAATATAGGAAAGCATGCCCAGACTATTATTCTCAAAGATGGGGAGCATGATTACCAGCTTACCTGGTGTGGGAACAGCTATTCACCTAACAACATAGAACAGTCAGCTATAACCAGCATAATGCAGGCACTTCCTGAGAGCCACATGGATCTCTGTGGACTTCCAGAATAAAGGAGCTCTACCTACAGACCCTACAGCTCTCCTTTCAGACTCTCTGCAACTCTAACAAGCCATCATCACTGTTGACTGGGAATGGGTTAAGGGCAGTGGTTTCTAAACAGGGTTCAGTATAAGGTTCATTAGTGCAGAGAAATAAATAAATAAAAACCAGTAATGTCTCTTTGGGAAAAGGAGGAAAAGAAGCAACAAGTGATTAGAAGCAGGTTTTCCATTAGTAGTATTTCAAATAAAAACAAAGAGCTTTGAGGAACATGACCCAGGAAGGTGTCCCTGCATGCCAGGGGTTGGAACTGTATGATCTCTAAGATCCCTTCCAACCCAAACCATCCTATGATTCTACAGTATTTCAGAGGAAAACATGTATCTGTATTTTGTTAGAGAATAAATATGCATTTATAACCATGAACAAGAAAGAGAAATATTCCTTAATTAGGTCAGCTATTTGTTGCTCTTTCATAGGTATGGCCCTTTCCTCAGCAGTTTGAGTTCCTTGAGGTTTGTGGATTGTGTGTCCTTCTTGTGGCAGGCACTTATGAGGTCAAACCAGTAAGGCACGATAAAGTCCCGCTGTGATGAGATCATGGATACTCAAGCAAGGTATGGCAACAATTTTACATGCACAATTTTACATGCACATCTGTAGCTCCCTGTCTGATTTACAGCTCAGAATATCCAAGGACAAGACCTCCTGTTTTTACTGCATAGCAGAAGTTCAGATATTCCTCACACATAATTTTAGCAAACATGGTGTTACTCCTAAAACATTTAAGTTGCTCAGGAGGAAATGGGAAAGATATTGATGACCTCATGAAATCTGATTCTTCCTGACTCTAGACAAGCCCATTCTGGAATTCACGTTTTAATAAATGCTTCTTGTTTGGAGTCACACAAAAATAAAGATCTAAAAATAAAGAAGTAAAAATGTTTAACTTACTCTACATTCTTTGTCCAGTCTGGAGGGTTACTCATGGTCATAAATACACAGTTTGTCAAAATAGTGCACATGATAAGCATGCTGAATAATGTAGGTTATAGTTAAGGCACATAAGTCAAAAAAGTAGAACAGCTTTGTAACACTGAAATAACTTAAAAATATTAAGTGCTTACAAATGTGTACAAATAACATCACACTCTAATTAAAGCCTAAAAACAAAGCTTTGCACACAAAATGATGTATTTTAAATGGTATGTCATCTGGCATATTATGGTGTATTTCCATTAAAAAAAAAGCAATACTTTTGTAATTATAGCAGGTTTTAAATGAAGTTTAAACATATCTTTAACTCTGTAAATCATGAAATGACTACCCAAATGTACTCATTTAATACAGCTGGATGGATCATTCTAAAAGATCTTTAGTCAGAGGTTAGTTGTTTAGGCCTGAGTTTTCCTTTGAACACGATTGAAGCATATTTGAAAATACTCTCCTTTATCCCAAATCTTTTACAGGACACCTATCCCAATGCTGAAAACACAATGCTGAAAAAGCTGCTCTTTACCCATGCTCTTTTGTCCTTGCTAAGTGAGTCTAGTTCATGAATAGTACTACTGGTCTTGCTAAAAGTGTGACCTTAGATATGTTCAAGTGCAATGGTTTGTTACTAATGTGGCCTTAGCTGCAGGGCTCAGTATGGGATCAGGTCTCCTTTTAGATATAAAGCCTGATATTTAAACTCTGACAGATTTAGGTGGTTCAGTAGAGAATTCTCTCGGCAGGGATGAAGATCATACTGCAATTCACATGTGATATTGCTCCTTTTTTAAATGTGAGCAACGTATATTTTTTAGCATAGTTCACTCCCATGGACACAATTTGTAGCTCCACATGAAAAGTATTATTTCACTCATTAAGTATTTTTAAATAGCAACACTTAAATCAACATTAAGAAAAAAGGATATGAATGTACCAAAATCTTGATAGCAATTTTTCTGATGGGATTAAAAGGAGTTAAAATATACAAGGCAGATGTGGCACTGAATCGGAAAATTGCTTTTCCCTTATTCAATACTATGAAAGTCTGCAAAAAAAAAAAAAAGAAATACAAAATTAAAATACAGTGCTGGCTACATATATATCTTCACCTCTTACTATAAATTTCCATTTGCCACCTGAAAGGTACAAGTTCCATTCTAATGGCTACCTGTGGTACAAAAATAACTTATTCCTATTAATGCAATGGAGTAAGTTTTCCACAGCCAATTCTCAAATTGCAAAATTTTCCAGCATGTGAACTAAATTATGATCTAATTAAAATTTGTGGGAATTACAAAAAACAATCGCAGTTTATCAATAAAAGCAAAATGTATTATTTTGCCACTAAAATATTTCAATTTTATTTCTTATGAAGACTTTGATTAAAGTGATTCAAATTTATCAAATGTATTCCACCTTGTGAGCAAACACAAACAAAACCAAAATAGCAAAAGGACAATTCTAAATGGCAGTTTGTATTTGGAACAAATACTTGACAGAATTATATACACACATATGTATAGTGATAAGGAGAAACTGTCATTACAAATCATTCACAATTTAAAAATTTGCTTTAATTTTCTATTTTAAATACTATTGCCAGCTAACATAGTTCTGAGTAGTGTGAGACAAACAGATGCCAGGGTTTGGCATCCTATGACAACAAAACTAAAAAAAAATTAATTCTGGTTTTCTTCTTAACAATGTGCTCTTACTTTCCCTATATGCAAGCAGAAAATTTAGCTAGTGATTGTCTTTTAAAACTTGGTCCAATAAACTTATGGTTTGTGTTCAGTTTATTCTGTTTCTGTGGGCAGTCGTTGCCTAAGTGTATTTGTCTATGAATGAGGTTTACTTGCATCTTTGGTTCTGCTTGAAATTTCTTCAGGACATAACTATTCAGCATTCCTTTTGCTCTTCGTCGATGGTAATGGCTCTGCTTTATGTTACCATAATAGAGTCTTTGTTACACTCTCAGCAGAGCTATAAAGTATCACTGTTCTCCATGTTGATTTCCATTCTCTGTAAAAACTTGGCTGTGATCAGAAAAATTCTGCCCTCTCTGTGGCCTTTACTGCCTGCTTGGACAGTAATCTCAGGGAAGGAAAGTAAGCCACTCCACGGCAGGACAGAAAATAGGTAAAGAAGTGTTGCTGGTGAGCAGGCTCACAGAAAAACAACAAGCTAACACTGAGGGTGGCAGAGAAGGGACACACACTCCTTGGCATTTCTCCCTGCCCTAGAGTCCTTCACCCAGCTGGAAATGCTAGAAAGATGTTGCCTGTCCCAAGGTCACTGGCTGCAGCTGAGCCTGAAGACAGACTAAATTCACATATGATTTCCTCTGCACTGACAAGACAATGATTAAGGGTAGTTTCTACTATATACCAGAGGAGGGATGACTAATTCTAGACCATGATTTAAGATGTCCATTTGTTTTCTCTTGAGCATAATTATAGGTAATATATGGCTGGGAATATATGGCATAATGCTAGGTAATATAAACACAGATGTCACCTGTGACTAAAGATCCTGAAGTTTACTAATTGTTCTCAGATACTAATAAATCCATCGTTAGTATGAGCTTTTACTTTTGTTCCATAAAATCTGACTGCTTTTTCTGATCAATGGAGGTTAGAAACTATACTTCAGAACTTCTCAGGCTTTCTGAAACTTCACTTGTTCAGACAACTTTATCCCTGAACTTACTTATGCAACTTTATTCCTGAAGTTTTGCAGTTAGTCAAGAAAAGGGTTTAGTACTGACATATTGTAAGAATTTCCATGGAACTGTCATAACCCAAACCATATAAATTTAAATAACCCTTTGCAATGCTACTTGTTTGGACTTTAATTTCTTTACATTTCCTTAATAATGTATATACTTGTATTATCTACAGCATTGTTTATTTAACTTTGGCAACTGTTAGGTTTTGCAGTTACATATAGATTCTGCTTTATTTTCTGTTCCCATTAATGAGGCCATAATTTTTAAACCTGTTTTACAAACCAAAGGCAACCATAAATTTAGCCACAAAAGTGACAGTATTATTTGCATGATTTTTTTGTAGCAAAAAAAAGTTTCTTTGGAGTTTAAAGTATTTTATGCCTTGATTTTTTATAGTGGCTCATGATCAAATTTCTTATCTTGATGACAGCCTGGAAAGCTTCAAGCTGTCAAGGGAGAACTGTGTCCAGTTCTTTCTGTTTCAGAGAGATGGGAAAAGATAGTCCCAAGTACTTGTCCATAAAACACCTTCTGCATTTTTTAATTTACGGGTGTTCATCTTCCTTCACTCTCCTCACCCGCAACACTTTGCAGTCTATCAGAAACTGAAAGAACCTCTTGATCCTGCTAAAGGAGCACACAGAAATAAACAAGAGCATAGAGGAAAACTGGCTCTAACTGCCACCTGTACTTTCTCTAATCAGTGCAGGACCTAAGGTACTTTTACTTGTTCCCAGGTTGGACTATTTCAGACCCTGGAGGATTTTAAAACAGACTACAACTAATCCCAGCTGTGGAAATATACTTGTTTTTTTCCTTGTCTTTCCCTTAACTCAAATAACACCCGTCCACTTCCAATTGTAAGCATCATTGCTACAAGACCAAAACCCATACACTCTACTGCAGATCCTGACTTGTAAAAATTCAAACTTTTTACTTGAACGGATCTGTTTGAACTACCTTTTCTATTTCTGAGTCCCTCATTTGGGGATCATGTGAAAAGGAAGACTGTGTATGGCTGTGCAAATTGGAAGGGAAAATGCACCTCTATTAGGAGTTTGCATATGTTGCATTCACACATGTAACTTAGATGCATTGCTTTTATTTCATAACTCTTTGCCCTGGTCTTTCTGTATGAAAACTCTTCAGAACACCAAAAATGTCTTTTTTCAATTCATTCCTCAAAAACAAGCTTTTCCATGGTCTTCCGGAGACTTCTAGTTGACAGCTCTGCAGTAGAGATCTATCATAGAAAACCCAAGCACCTCAAGCAATAGTTTGCATTGTGGTAGTTTCATATGGGCCAACATTTACAGAATCTCTATATGCTATATGTATAGAGATAAAAATATTTCATATGTATGTTTGCATATGTTCTATAGCTATACAGAAACAAACAATATGGTTACAGTCCTCTATTTCACTGGATGCTATCTTGTTATCTACAATTATTTCCATTGCAAAACCATGCTTAGAACATCTCTTTTGTCATACCCAGTCTTACTATTACATTGTAATATAACAAATTCATTCTGTGTTCAAGTTCAGGCAAGATCAAGGAAGACACATCTTCCTTACAATGAAGTAAATAGCAAGTAACTCAAGAGAATTTAAGCAGTCACAATATGGAAGAGCATAAATCAGTTCTGTTAAATAAAAGGATGGTTCTGGGTATTTAGCAGATTGATAGTTCTAACCATCATATTTTGTGATAAAGCTTGTCTAGTGTATAAAGTTATATTCTATTTTGTGCAAAACTTAATTCACTCACTTTTTTATTGATATAATATGGGTCCAGGTCTTCCAAAGGTTCAGACACCATTCCTGGAGGTATGTCACCATAAATAAATGGCAGGGTCTTTCCTGCCTCCAAGTCAGTGTTTGGTTTTGGACCATTTTCATCATCATCATCTGTATGTTCTTGCTTGGGCTTTTTAGCTTTTTCTTCTGCAGAACGCTTTTCAATAGCTGCGAGAGAATCTCTAGTAAAATAGCGGAAGCTTTCAGGTCCAGGTGGTACCAGCAGTGCCTGTGCCATGTTTTCATCCTGCAAATTTAATTACTTTTAGCTTCGTGCATAAGAATGACCTATAAAAGAAAATTAAATAATTTAGGCAAGCTAGATTGTACCAATAGGAAAAACCCCAACATTTGGTCAGAAACTCTTTCCAGGCTTAAATAGAAATAGAAGCAGCATATTTCAAGGCTGAATGGCAGTTAAAAGCAAATGCTCAGAATTTGTTTTGATATTTAATAAATTATTTTTCAGCTTTTTCCTGCTGATCCAGAAAAAGACATTTCTTTTTCTGCCCACAGATACTGCTTTGCCTGTGTCCTTGGACACTCCCAGTTAGAGCAAATTGCTGATAAAAGTGTTTTAACAGTGCAGCTTTTTTTTTTTAAATGCAAGTATAAATGCATTTTCTGTGAGGTACTGCTGAAAATTGTAAACCTACATTCTACAATTTAATAAATTTTATCTTTCCATATTTTTTCAAGCATCAGTAATACAACTTTACAAACATCGATACTTTCATTAAACTAAAAGATTTTGCACAACTGGCTTGCACAACTGTTTAAATGACAGGAGCTGAATTATGGGAGGAACAAGTGTAATTCTTTCTTACTGACACCTAACTGTGGTGAAGGCTAATATTAGATCCCAGAGCAGCTTAGGTTGCATTTATTGACTGTGAATCAAAACCACAGGCCTTTTAAGTAAAAGTAAACAGCATGTATAATTAAGGCTATATGGGAAGAGATGCTGCTTCTGATTCTTTGCAAGGCAAGTGTCATAGTACTATTCCAGACTGAAACTCATCTGAAACCTAAGACTCTGGTTTGCTGTGAATGGCTTTAGTACCAGCGGTGGATGAAGCTGCTTTTTCCTGCTCTCTGCATTGAACTCTCTACTGTACAGCAGATCTCTTTATGAAGTCCTGCAGAGCATCAACTGAAAGCAGTGTTATTTTTCACTCTTCCAAGTCCTTCTGCAGCAGGATCAGTTATTTAAAGTGATGTGCTGTACAGCACAGTTGAGAAGTTTGAATAGCTGGAGGGAGAGAATGGCAAAATGAAGGCAGATATGGTAAGAGTCCTGCCACCAGGGAATAAATTAAAGGTTTACTTGGTTTCTACTTTGAAACAGTTTACAGCATACTGCTGTAAAAATGTTAGTTATGAGAACCAATTTTAAGAGTGAGTTTCAATGCTTAACTAATGAGCTTTAATTATGTTTTCTGTTACATGAAGCCATGTAGCCTTTGCTGCATTACTTCATGAATGTGTGCAACATATGTATCCTGGAGATGCCACATCTAAATTTGAATTATAATATTCTGCTCATTTGCACTCATTCAATAGTCCTTCTTCTAAAGCTTCTTGCCTGTCTGAAGCAGTTTGTAGAAATCCACACACACAGAGACCCACAAAGTGCTACAGTAATGATCTTATGAAATAAGATATGTGAAGGCTGAAGAGGATGTTAAAAAATGCTTGAAAAACCTAGAGTAAGAAATTAGAGGAGAGAAATAAAACAGCATACTCCTAAATCTGAATTACCAATCCAATGACATGGTAAGGACTCATGTTCCTATGCCACCTCAAGTCTAAATCTCTGGAGTGAGTTCACAACACAGCTTCCATCAGTGTGTATGATCAGCACTGAGGTCACTAAAATAATTCAGTCAGTAGATTATAGCACCAAGCAGATAAGTCATACAAGACCAAAACCAAGGTACCTGACCATAAATTCAGAATTAAAACACTCTGTACTCTAGACACGAAGAAGAAAATTTCTCTAAAGGAATATCCTGAAGAACTATGAGTTAATGTAATGTGCAGAGTGAAAGACATCTTGGAGTGGCCATACAGATGCAATATAAAAGGAAAAAGTAAATTATAACTCCAGCCAGAGTCTCCAGCATGCAACCTTATCACAGGTTTCTATGCTGAAATTTCCACTACTACTTTTTTCTTTGTACAAGATGGATGCCTTTGCTAATCTCTTTTTTAAATTAATGTAACTCCCAATTATAAGGATCCTAAACTCAAAGTTGTCCCTTCTTTTTAGAATTAAAAGCACACTCATTTTCTGGATACAGTCCTTTGATTACTACTTTTGCTCATGCAGGATTAATGAACTATGAAGATGCCTGAGGTTTCTCCTTGGTCTTTCTGAATAATTAATTTATTTATTCCCCATTTTACAGGTCTGTGATTCAACTTGTCACTCTAGGTACCTTTTCTATGAAACTAGTCTCAAAAGATGCATCCAAATCAAGTAACCAGTGTGTAATTCTTGTCTTTATGATGCAATGCATTTGTTTACTTTTCCACCATTAACAGTTACAGCTATGAATGCTGTAACAAAATGCCTTGTGCTCACTTAAAGGATATGCATTTGTGTTTCCAGAAATCCACAAAGGAGCCAATGACTGACTGGGGAAAGTATTGGCAGACTTAAGGATTTACTGTATTTTTCAGGGAAAAAAATATACCCTTAAAAAACGTTTTCCTGATGAGTTGAAAACATTATTTGAGACCTGCCTCCACTACTGTCTAGTGCAATTATATCTTTTCTTTGCTGCTGCTATTACACAAGAAGGCTTTTCCTATACTAAATATGCCCCAAGCATTTTCATTTAAGTTACAAAGCTTAACAGAACAACACAGAAATATGTATCTGATTACAGTTTCTATACATGCATTAATTTAATAGAACAATGAAACAGAAGTTGTGCTGTTGCCTGTACGGAGCCCTAAACAAGCTCTTTGCAATCCTTGATTCATAAACTGCTCATTTGTTAGTGATAGCTTCCCTCTCCTTCCTTCACTAGTTTTAAAATTGCTTGTTATCTGGTAAATAAACTGCCAGGACATGAATGATATTAGGCAAAATTCAGATATTCTGAATATATCTAATAATTCAGAAAAACTGTCATTAAAAAAACAATTTTTAAAGAAAGAGTCTCAAAACTACATGTGGTCCAGGCCCCTCTGTACTTTCTGCTGCTCAGCAAAGAGACTTTCAAGTATTTGAAATACAATTCTGGTTTATATATCATATATGTAATGCTCTGTAATTTAATACATTTCATTAGAAAAATGAAGTTCCCCTTTATTAAAGACATGCTTTTGCAATTTAGTTGTAACTGAGCACTGCATGCTGTAAGTCCTTCTCCAGTTTTCCTTCAGCCCCTACCTTTAAATAATAAGACCAAGCAATAAACAGTACATACATGTTTTTAATTTTATACATATTCCAGCTAGTTATATTGTGGACATATATATATGTCCACATATATATAACAGCTAGTTATCTGTAGATATATAATATATATTCACAGATTACTATATTAAAAATAAAATTTAACAAGTTATCTTCTCATCATTTACAGAAGATGAGTCAGAAAGTAAGTAAAATATCTTTGCTAACAATGTCAAATTAATTTTTCTGTATCTCTGAAAAAGCCAGAAGAAGTGGCCTGAAGGTATCTATTTTTATGATCTCTTAAATAGGGCAAATGGTAAAAGTGAAAGTACCAGTAGAAGTACCAGGTAGGTACCACAATTGTTTATTCAAATCTTCAGGTTATCTAACAGGTTATCTGCATTTTGCATGAAACTGCACATATACACTTCAAAGTTTTCAAGGTGGAGAAATAGAAAATCTTGCTGGGGTTTTTTCCCTTTAAAGTACTGCCTGCTAAAACCCTGAAAAAGCTGACTACTGAGATTTTCATTCTATTAAAACTGTAACAGTTGATTAGGCTTGAAGCAAGTGCAAGAATAGCAAATGGAATATGTAAAATGACCAGCTATCCTAATTTTCTTATGCTAATCTTTCATTTGAGAAGCTGTAATTTGGAACTAGTATCTTCCCCTGTGCCAAGCCTTGCAACAGCCTCTCAGATGCTAAAGCCTGGATTAAAAACTTTTCTCTAAACCACTGGTGTTAATAAGGCCAGCTGTCTCAATAGAAGTAAAGCTGTTAGTCCAAATCAAAGGGTGAGTCTCCCACAGTGGGACAGACAGAAACAGCAGGGCTAGTGGCACCCCCTCAGCATCAGCTAGAGATTGCTTTCTGCTGTTTAGAAATTAAAAGTGTAGCTCTTGTGTGCTGATACCAGAAAAATACCTCAACTCAAGCTCCTACTGTCCCAAGGAGGAAAGAGATTCAAGACAGCATATGCTGGGACAGTCTGAAAAAATGAGTCATCTTAGCTCCCTCTCATAGTGTTTGGGATGTTGCTTTACAAAATTCAGGTATTGATTTTTCTGGAAGTGAATGTAAATGACAGTTAAATTACTGTTCTCTGATCAAATTCCAAATCAGGAAATGCTGCCTTCAGTTTGTTCAAGAAAGAAAACGATAGGTAAATATTAGTTTCTTGTGAGAAGAACTAAAATTAAATATTTTTATTGAATTTTTTCATGGCTTTTATATACAGAGAACAATTTCATGAGGAAAAATGTGGTCTGAAATACTTTTTTAAGTTACAGATCATTATCTTTTCATAAATGACATTTACCATTGTGTACCATTTATCTTGGCATATTTACCCTATTTTTTACTGCTTTAAAATATTCTAGTAAAAAATGGAATTACAAAAAGATCAAAAAAGACTCAAAATGTCACTGCTGTAGTTCACAGTGGTAAATGCAATGCAATGCAGATTTCTTTGAGATATCTGAAGAGACATTCAGTTAAAATTAGCCGTGGGTCCTAAGGCAAGGAATACATGGAAGTTGGCGTCATAAAAATAGGTATTTCAAGGAAGGGAGTGATTTCCTCAAAGGTGAAAACAGCCTTCAGAACTTAGCACCTGGTCAGAGCCTGCCTCTTTAAACTCTAATCTAGTAATTTAAACTTTGACAATTTTTTTAATAGGTCCTCCCTGACAAATACATAGGATTTGCTTTCCTTTTTTCCATTAAGTTCAACATTTATTATTGATCCATTGTGTAAATTTTTAGATTATAATTTATCTATAGCAATGACTGTATTTGCATTTTGTATTTTTGTCTGTAATTTTGCAGTCAGCCTCAGTAGCCTATAGGCATTAGTGTTACATAACTATTCAAAATAAAAAATAATGACATCTACACCAGGTGTTTATTAATAAAATTAATAAATACCAGAAGACAAAAAAACTTGTTATGAGAATATGAAATCAATTAATAAGACTATGTCACAGAAATAATATTCCTTCATAAAAACTTGCTTTAAAATAATTTAGAATGGAGTGATTTAAAATAGGTGTAAACCTTTCCAAATAATAGTATATGTAGTAAAAGCTTCAGTTGCTTCAGGGGTACTACATGCAATCTTATTTCATGTTCCCAGTAATGAGTTGAAATTAGGTGTGAAAGTACATTAACTAAACCTTAAGAACCCCACCCTCAGCAGAAGAAAACACTTTCCTTCCTGTGACCTCTCCCCAATATTTGCTTTTGAATTAATTAGTTCTTATTTCTTATCTTAGTTCTTAATCAAAATTTGGTAGGTTATGTAAAGGAATAAATCTGAATTCCTTTAGATACCTACCTGCAAGTTGTAGAACTCCCAAAATAAATTATCTGACCCGTTTATCTTATAGATAAAGTTGACCGAAACCTCTAGGAATTTTTAAAATGTAAGCCTGCCTTGTATTTTCTTTAACACCATGAGTTTCCTCTGAGAATGTGTGAAAAGAGATCAAGTGTCAATACCTGAAGTATTGGAGAAACCTGAAGAAGGACAAATGAAAACCATATGCAATTAAAGAGGAAGAGAAAGGGTCTCTTTCTTAGTCCATCAGTCTAATTGGAATACTGTACTCTAATCAACATTTTGCAAATACCTTCCAGCATCAGAGATCCTTAAATTCTAAAGAAAAATAGATACAATATACGTAACACAAATTTCTATAGCTGAACCTCATAAAGGTGTTAATTTCATTTTCCCACTGGTATTTTAGTGAAGATATGTAGCAGAATATCAACTAGCCATTTTTGGCAGTGTAACGTTATTTCTGGCAGAGAAGAAAAGACAGTCTTACCTTTATTCTTCTAAGAAATGCCAAATCTCAGAATTTAACCTCTGCATGTTTTGCTAATGTGAAAAGAAAAAGGCTGCATTTCTGGCAGAAAATGAATTGGCAAGGAAGGCTTTTCCTTGGGACCTGAAGTGTCTTCAAGACTGCAGTTCCTTCAGAACTTTCTCATTCTTTATTCCTGTGTCCAAAGCTTCTCAAAAATTAATTACAGTAGACAAGGCTAAGTCTACATATTCACATAGACATATTTTTCCAGCCTAAGAGCACTGAGAAGGAAGAAAAACAAGATTGAAAATTATTAATGTCACAAAACCTAATACAGAACAAAAGTACATTAAGAATATTCTTTAAGTGTGCATTTCAAAGACTCCACCTCATCTTTTACCTGCATGCTTTCACTAAAAGGGAAAAATGGGCCTTGTTGGAATTACTGCATCACTAGAACAGTTTTTGGTAGACAAGGGGTAAGACATGGTAGATGGGACCTCCTGGACCAACAGGAGTGTTCTCACCTGTCATTTTGGGAACTGAACAGTGTATCATTTCTCCCAATGGATTTACTGTCTTTAAGCAAGCATGGAAATTAATTAACTCTATATTTACAGGAACATATGGGTACTTCTTCAAGTTATCTATTATAGAGATTGTTGGTACGAATGCTTTTCTTTGTGCAGCAAAATTTTTCTTCCCTGCCAAGTAATATAATACCAGAAACACACAGTATCTTCAGGTTCTTCAGTATAAATTACTTGCATCATTACAAGAGCTGGCCAAAGGTTGGCCATGTGTTCTTCAGTCTTTAATAATCTGGGTATCCAGTTCATTAAAGTGTCTACTTACATCTTACACATATTCGTCTTCAGCCACTGAGATTCAGATGAGCTGTCTTTAAGACATTTATTGTCATTTAGATATCTCATCTAGATATACTTCTGGCTTTTTTTTTTTACTGTTTTATGTTGTTATTTTGCTTTTACTCCTATAGAAGAAAAGAAGAACACATCCCTCTCTTTTAGGTCTCTGCTCTTGTGAAAGCAGCTCTTAATAATACTTTTCTCCAAATACAGTGAGCATGAACAGCCACAGTAGAAGCTCTGTAGATAAAATAAAGAAAATCTGAGTAGACACAGATCAGGTCAGAGAGAACACAAAAGGTGGAAAAACAAAAAGTGAAAGCTTTCTTTTAGATCACTGCTTCTCTTACTCTTAAAGACAGAGGATCTCCAAGTACTTCAAGTACAGAGAATATATTTCAAAAACTAACCTAGAATTTGTCTGGTACTATTTCCTATCAATCTAGAATTGCATTTTCCCAAATATACAATAAGTGTTAACATAATTAGAGCTTCCATTGTTTAATAATGTAACATAAACTCATTCCAATGATGGCTAAGAGCAAATTCTCTCAATGCCTTGGTCATTTTGAGTGAAGCACTGATTCAGCACATTTTGCTGTGGTGAGTCACTGCTGGAGAGGCTCCACTGAAGACATCTGAAAGCTGTGTCTCCAGAACTGACCTCAGGGAATCATGACTCTGCCACCATTGATACTTATCCACCAACGCATATTTTACACTGAATGCAGCTTTCCCTGGGGGTACAGACAGGACTTCCCAATCCCTTTGACTATTGGGTGCATCTGGATTCTGCCTCTCAAGCAGCACTGTGGCTGAAATTTGATCTCATGGTCAGATACAACAAAATGTTTAAGTGCTTCTGCTCACAAGTTTCAAAATAAATGTAAGAGATTCTAGAGGTTCCTAATAAAAGAACAATCACTAATACTAAACATTCATATGACATTTATTTTCAAAAAAGGAAGTGTAACTTCTCTCCAGTTGTAAAATATCTGCCAGTTTGCAAAATACTGAGGAATTCATTTTTAATGTGAGAATTATTAATAACACTAGAAGAGCAGGTATTTTCAACAAATCTGTATTTTGAATTAAAGCACAAGTCAGTGAACCCTTTTTCACATGTGACCCCAACCTTGTCTCTCCCTCTATGCATCATGGTTATGCTGTACTAATAAGTGGTAGCTACAGCAAAACTTCCAAGAAGAATCATGGGTAAAATCTCAGGCCTAGTCAGAAGTGATTCCTGATTGACAAATTACATAGATTCTTTCATGCAGGGCTCTTTCCTGAAGTCTTCTGCATATATAGCATAAACATTTCATCTAAAACTGGTTAGAATACGTTTCAAATTCTGAGGCATAACATTGCTTCAAAGAATGTTTCAAACTATATCCTCATGCTCTTTAGCTCCCAATGTAACGATAAACTGGAAAAGAAAGAAATGGGGTTATTCAAAATGAGATTTTGCTATAAAGACCATTATAGGACAATATGCCAGTGATGTTGCCCCAATAAAACTTCAGTGAGCAATATCTAAATACATCACAATATTGATTTTGCTGTATTAAAGAAATAGAAGGCTCTGTTTGTAAAGTAGTATTATTTTCTAAATTTTTCTAGGGAATCTTACAAAAATGCACTTGGAACAAAACACATTGTTTATGAATTTCAGAAAAAAAGAAACAAACTAAATTAGGAAAATTAATTGAATCAGTAAGAACCATGCAGCTGAAACGCTTCCCTAGCCTTACTATGCTGCAGAAACAAGTCAATACAAAATATGAAAGAATAAACTTCGTATAACACAAGATTAATGAACTGTATTTGGAATTTGACAGTTGTCTAGGAAACCAAAGGGGAAAAACTGGAACTTCTGTTTGAGAGGCTCACACAGAGTCCTTGGTTGAATGTGATCATTACTATACCAGGAAGGAAAAGCACATAAAGTCAACATGAAAATTGAGTGCTTTATACCCAAGGTTTAATACAGCATATAAAAGATGTGCATGGATTTCTCCAGGGCATTTATTCAGGTGTCATGGAACTGTCTAATAAAATATAATCAAGCCTTAATTCTGGAATGTTTTCCAAATAGAGTATGGAAGCATGACTTACATCTAGTCTGTACCTGCATGTAATAAATCTAAAGGTGCAAAGCCTATAAGTTACAAGTTCTACCATCTCTCTAAAAGTTATCTCTTATAATGTTGAAATTTCAGTATATTAACAAAATATTGTACTAATTAGAGGCCTTTAGCTCTAAGTGATATGTGCTATGGAATGATAGCTAGTGCTGTAGCAGCTACTAGAATTCTAGTATTCTACCTATTATAATACTAACTAAAAAAATTGATTTGTAGGAAATACATGTCAAGTAACTTAAAATGATGTTAGCAAAATCCTTTCAGGAAGACTCCTTTAATGCCCAGTTACACCTTCACTCAGTAGGTAAGACATTCCTTCATAATACTGGTTGAATTTTATTTATATTAATTTTGGTCAGAACTTTTGTCTCAGGTCAGAGACTAAAGCGTCTTCATGCGAGCATTTTGGCTTTAAATATCAGTGACAGGCTTTTCTTTAGACATTTCATTTAAATGACAGTAAACATTAGGATTGCTCTCCTTCAGTTCAATCTGACCTTGGACTCTTGGGACCTTTTGAAATTGCCTACTTATTCTGTCATTTATTGATATTAATCTATTTAATGATATTAAAATATCATTACTGATTGCCTTTCTAACTGTAAAGCCTAGTACTTTTGCCTTCTTCTGTCACAAACAAGCTTTGAAGATTATTGGGCTATTAAGTAAGAATAAACTTAAAAGAATTTTTTTAAAATATTCAAAGCTGTTTGTGATGAGGGAAATTTATTTTGCTCCTTGATAAGGTGCAAGAGTGTAAGTTAGGTGTATACCTTCACTCATCATTTAATAGCGCCCTCTATGTAATGTAAAAGCTATCACACATCTTAGATGCAGAGCATTATTTTTCTTTAAAGTGTGCTTTTCAGTGGAATATCTACTGAAAATAAGAATAATTTTCTATCTGTCTATCCCTGAGTTCCACTGTGGAGTTAGGTCAACTTTGCTAAAATGAATAGGGAGCCTTCATTCCTTTGACTTAATATCCTAAGTTTGTAGTCTAGCAGTTTTATCCTTGCTATTTAGCCACTGCACAAGAACACATGCATTCAAAAGTAAATGTTTTTGATGGTGATAACTGTGGAGAAATTCCTGTCCTCAAGGAAATCAAGTTGGTAACATGTTAATTGCATCTGAGAAAAAAACCCTGCATTTTTAGGTGGGACACAGACGAATACACATTCAGGTTTCAAAGACTGTCACACATATATCTGAAATATTTATAAAAAGGGACAAAAATATTCTTGTATCAGAGTCTTGATACAGTTACACAGTTGTCTTCTGTGCCTGGCTTTTGAGAAGGCAATGAGAGTTGTTTGTCAAGAAAGCACATTCATTTAACATCTGAAAACTTTGTGTTTGGACGTATTTAAAACTGGACCAAGAAATTTAGATTCCTATATTTTTAACCAACACAAATTTGGAATTCCTTAGTGTGTCCAAACAATAAAAGATAGTACAATAATGCCTAAGAAAGGACAGAGTTTTCAGGATATGCAAATCCAGGCAGGCAAGAAATGGGGACATGTGGCCCCAAATTCAGGCTACATGAACTAAAAAAATTTCTGCTTCTATTCCCGGACTACCAGGCAGTGAAAGGACATAATTTATGAGAAATGGTGACAGACTTTCCCTTAATTAATACAGTAGCCAGGCCACACAGTGCTATGTTGTCCTACATAAAAGGATCTCTTTTTCCTGTGAACATTTCATTTCCTCGTTTACTTTTTCATCTGCATTTCTGTAGTGATTTGGACACCAACTTGCAACTTCCTAGAATCCTATATAATCATACATAATAATATTTTATGGTTTAGCACATAAAGGAAGTTTCTCGCTTCACATTGTTCTTAAAATAAATTATGCTAAAAGATCACGAACATTGATCCTCTCCACACTGAAAAGGAGGGCCTTAAAATTAAAAAAGCAACATCTAATTTAGGTATAAATAATCTATAAATGGAAATTTCCTGCAATGTATACTTATCCCAAGATCCTCCTGTTGTGTGGTTACAATGGGTATGTATGGTAAAGGAGATCACAGAACCAGTAGTCCTGATGGTCATCCCAGCCATTTTCCTTACTGGAATCTGTGACATCCTCTCAGATTTACCAGTGTGCCTCATTGCGTTCCTTGAGGAAATCTTGTAGAGAAATGTGAGGATGTGCCTGATGCATCTCACAGACAGGGAGTCAGCTGTCTGTGCTCCTCAGCTGATCTATACACACACAGAGTAACTTCAGCACCTGTGAAACTGCAGCCTTGCTGAGCAGGTGCATCATCTGTGCAATTGATACATCTGGCATGTGCCAGACCCATGCATATGGACTATACACTCAATATATGCATATTCAAAATGGGACCATTTGATAAGGGTATATGATATCCCCAACGTTGGCCCAAAGAAGTAGCAGGAAAAACAATTCCAGCTTGAAAAAGGGACTTGTGCACATGGGTAGCTCCACGATTGCACTTACCTAAGTAAAACTACTCAGTCAAAAAAAGAGCAATAGCAATAAAGAATTATTAACTATACAAATAATTAATCTCATCATAAATAATCTTTTCGTTAAGCTTTTACATGTGAAAAAGCCTCATAAGCTCTTTAATTAAAGATTAACTTTTTTAGATGCATTTTTTACTGTAAAACATATTCTGTGATCTGTCTTAATTGATAGAGTAAGTCAGCAGCAATTTTTTGTAAGAAGATGTTACCAAGATGGGGATTGTTAGCAACAATTTGAAATCACTGGTTTGGGGTGGATTGTCTGATCCTTTTTGTTTGAGATGTGGATCTTTGGGGCTTTTTGCTGTTGTTAGTTGGTTTGTTGTGTTTGTTTGATTGTAATGTGAAGAAATAATTTGGGGCTGCATAATGAAAAAAAGAGAAACTGGATCCTTCTGCGACCTAGAATTTAACTTGCTTACTCCTATTTAGGATTACAGTGGTAGTACATTAGTAGTACATAGTTACTCAAGAGCATATGCTGTACCTACTCTCTATTTATATTTTCAAGTATCACAGTCCCTGCCTGAGCTGCTCGTATCCTTATTCCCTGCTTTACCTCATAAGGCAGGGAAAGTCAGGCAATAACACTAACACAGTAATGTACTGGAGATTCCAGCTGTTCATAAAGACAATTTTGATGAAAGCAGAGGAACAGGTTGTATGATGCCAGCTCCAGTGTCAAGGTCCTATGGGAGTCCTGTTGGTCAATATCAAACTTAGACATGCCATTGCAAGGGGTTTCACAGATTTTAATCAGGAGTAGATGTAATGCATAATATCGGGTTTCCAGTTAAGAGGATGCCTTTTTCCTACAGGTGGTTTTTAGGGTGGTTGGCAGTTGATTTGATGGACTGATTGACACCACAGCTCAGACCATGTACATGTGTTGTGTAAGCAGGGCATCAATTTTACTGTGATGCTTTAAACCATTTATTTATTCAAGTGAGGATGAAAAAACCAATATATCTTGCAAATTGCAACAGTATATATTACTGATTAACAGCTGTAAGGTAAAAAAACAAAACAGAAGACTTATGCTGAGTGGAAAATAAGCTAACTAGAATTTTGTAAATTAAATTTCTAACGTCTAAATATAATTTTATGATAAAGAACAGAGTAAATGCAACTCTCTGAAACTTACTTTCAATTATCACTGTCAGAATTCAGAAAATATAAGAATAAAGTACCAAATATCAGAAACTTGCATTTATTCTCCTTAGGTTTAACTGAAGCAGAGTTCAAGCAATTATTTTCCTTTGTCACCTTATGGCAAGAAGAGCATATAGATAGAAGGGCCAAGATTTGCACTTTCTAGAACAAGGTCAAAACTTGCTTGCCTTGTACATAGCTCTCTTTTAGTATCTGCTCTTCACTGATTCATCAAAAGTTGTGGGACTCCAGAAATGTCATTAGTACATGGCATACACACAACAAATTATATCGGGCTGAGATGGGAGCAGCAGAAGGAAATGGATATCATCAGTCAGAAAGTTCCATGTTACATCCCACTATTCTTTTTTTCTTCAAAAATCCTTGCTCTTTTGAGGGCAAATAAATTTCTCTCCATGCCTAATCTTCATAAGATAAAAGCTAACTCATCTAATGCCATCTGTGAAGAAAAAGAGGTGAAACATGAAAGGTGTCACCAGTATATTGATTAAACACACCCTACTTTTTATGATTTTTTCTTTCCCTTGATACTTGCCACTCCAGGTTACCTGATAATATACAGAAATGACCAAACTACCACTCTGACAGCCTTAGAGAGCACAGGGGAATTGTTTCATGTTCTTCACTGAAAATGTGAAATTGTCTTTCTTTGCTAACATCTAGTATTACCTATGCAGAATTTTGCAATACTGACCTTTATTGACAGAGCTCATAAAATCAGACTTAATGTCTGCTCATTATTGTAAACTGACAACACAAACATCATTTCTGTAAATATCACAGCCTAATAAACAACATATCTGTTTAACAGGTGCTATGAAGCTTCAAATTACTGCAGGAACTCACATTCTTGTCTTTAACAACCTTCCATTCCAAAATGGAGATGTGCAAGAGAGCAAATATTAAATATTAAACTGTTAGAGTTAAAACGTCCCTTCTGAAACTGTTTTCTTGACAAGTCAATTATGAAAGCACAAACGTGATGTGTTTCTAAAACAAGCATCATTATTACTGATTATTTACCTTGGAGTTAAACAAGGATACCCCAAGCACCATAAAGAATACAAATTAAAAACTTCTTTCTTTCACATCATTACTTCAGTTACAGGCCTTGCTTGCTACTCTGAATATCACCTGAGAGCCAATCCTGCTTTTTTATATATATGCATTGAGGAGGTGATTTATAAATTGTGGGCTCCTTATTCTGCTGTTTGGGCTTTTTTTTAAGGCAATTTTTTCTTACTGTTTTCTCTTGGAATAATTTCCAAATCAATACTAATATAACATATGTATCTCTAATGTCTATATGTGTCTGTAGAGCCACGATCGAAAAAAAGAATTCACATAGCAAAGTGATCTTCAGGAGATATTTTCCTTTTACCTTTAATAACTGACAGCTTTAATTATTATGGTAACAATGAATGAGACAATAGATGAATGGACAATGAAATGAAGAAATATAATAATTCTAGGGTTGATATCTTCAAACAACCCTATTAAGGAGTATATATTAAGCTTTACAGTAATAACACAGACAAAATGTGAACTACACATTTGGCGTGGACTTCTGCTTAATAAACAGTCAGTGAGTCCATTCTCTCCTACACACAACCATGAAAAAAAATGGCACAGAAAGAAAATATTTCCTTGTATTTTTTTACAAAATTTAGCTAATAAGGGAATTTATTCAAATACCACCATATATATACCATATATATATAAAACAGCATAGATTTTATCCCTGAATCATCAGAATCCTGAGTCTAAATATCACCAGATTTTTCTTCCTAGGAAACAAGGTCACTTCTATAAAATGCTTGGAATTAATGCTGTATACCTTGACAACAAAATGATCTGATTTTGTGAGGAAGACTACTGCATTACAACATCACATTAAGAGACCAGATATCAGACTTAACAGGGTTAAAAAGAAAAAAAATCACACCATCATCACAATCAGTCAGTACAAAATGGCTTTGAATTCCCCATTCCATCCTTGACTCTACCTTAACAGCAAACCAGAGGGAAAAATCCAATTCCAAAATGTGGAAAAGACCATGTTGCCATGATTGATTATGGGTAAAATGAAACGTTTTGCAAGCTTACCTGATTGAAAGAGAATGAAAAATCACTGCAAAGCCCAGCATCCAAAAATAATGTAATACATGTCTCCTCCTGAAACCGTCCAGATTTCCATCCACAAAGCCTTACTAATTGATCACAATTTCTGTATTCTCGGTGGAAAACACAGAGACCTTTCCAGAATGCTCTCTGCTTCTGCCTCCGCTTCCTGTTCTCAGTCACTCTATGGTACCCAACATATACGAGAAAACAGCTTATTCTGCGCAGGGGGGCCGGGAGGGGAGGCAGGGGCGCAGTGACGAGCCCAGCCCGCAGCACCTGACGTGGCAGCTCCACCTACTGGTGGCGAGCCCGAGCCGGCGAGCGCGGCCGCCCGGCCTGGAGCCTCCGCTCTGCCGCCTTGCAGCCCGCCGCCTCCTCTGCTCGGACCCGCGCTGCCGGCAGGCAAGGAGCAGAACACACCCACGGGGCCACACCGATTACTGAACAACCCCTCCAAATGCCTTTTGCATGAAATAATTAAATTTTGAAGCCGTTGGCCGTATACATTGAACAGAGCATTCGGTTTTAAATGTGCTGTTTCCTTTAAAATGCATGGGAACAGAGGAATGTGTAAATAACAGACTCCCTAACTGCCTCCCTAACTGGTGCATGTAGAACTTGCTAATTATCTTGATACTTTCTTATTCATTAAAACCTATCATGTATTTTTGGCACCATGTTCACGTCTTTCACATGTGTAAAATGTACTATGCTTATGTAAAATCAAAGCTCAAAGTCTTTCCCTTAGACAGGCTTCCTGGGCATGTGCAGATTTACATCTGATTACCTAGAATTCCTCTGGCCATCCTGGGAAGAATTATTAGAGCACTGGCTCCAGCACCACCTCTTCCACGAGCAGCAGTATTGAGTGGATAATATCCTTCGGGCAGCATATTGTTGTGTCCTGCCTGGCAGCTTGAGGAGCGTTGTGTCTGTGCAAAGTGAAGTGCAGAAATGCTGAGCAGTGTCAGCAAGTATGTGCAATATGATGACTCAAAGCCTTGGGGTAGAGACTGCTACAGATCCCACCTAATTGAAAATCAAGCTACCAGCTTTCATGTTCAGTCATGTGGGATTTAATAAACAAACACGATTCCACAAAACAAGAATAAATGAGTATAACAAGCAATTAATATCTTGCTTTCTTGTAGCTCCTGTAGTTCCTTTAAATGCCTCTTCTGCAGAGCTTAGAAACAGCCCTATTCTCTGTCCCCTGGTCACACAGATTGTTTTGGAAGCAAGGACCCCAGGGCAGCCAGCAGGTATCCACCCTGATGGCCCCTACCAAATCACAACTGCACAAAGCAGCAGGAGTAGTGATAACTGCCTACAACTCATGTCCCATATCCCTCATATCAACAGATATCCCCTTTGCACTTAGCATTTATCCTAAAACATTTTGTGTCAGTTTGTGAGAAGTCCTTTTGGTTTTGGTTACACTTGCTGTGTGCTTGACAGATATAAACACCAAATTCCTGAATCTGGCAGGAGGAAACAGGAATACATTTTCAGGGGATGTATGTATTCTGTATGTACAGAATAATCTCTGTGTACCAAGGAAAAGAGATGTATCCTTACATTCAAAATGTTTGGGTTTTGTAAACCTGGGGCATACAGGGACACTCCTCATCATACTGCTCACACAAGTCCCCCAGTTTGCTTCAAAGAGATGTCTGGAATTTTTAATATCAAAAAAAAAGTTCTTGAGGGTCTTAGGAAGTTTTCTTTAGAAAGTCTTTATGTCATTGTCCAAAGGTAATCATCATCTAGTAACATCAGAGAATTAAAGGGGAGCAATACATGTTGAATCTGTTTTTCCTGGAAAAATAAAGAAATGTGAATCTAAATAACAAACCATTTCAACTTTGTTAAAAAATAAAAAGCATTCTCCTTAATACTAGCTGTGTAATTCCAACAGAAACAGGTCTAAGAAAAACAGTTTGTAACCTGAGTTGGTTCAGAGGTTTGATTCTTTGTTAAATTGTATAAGAGTTTAGTCTTAGAATACCTAGTTTTTGTGAACTAATGTTGCATAAAATGGTTAGATTAACATCAAATTACTAGAGAACCCAGTCCTGCTTTTTTGTGATACTGTCCTTATATTTATTGCAATCCTCTGTGATATGCCAGTTGGCACAATGACTATACCTAATGTATTTGTCTGTACCAAGACAGCCTTCTCATAGGTGTAGGTATGCTATTAGAGAAATGTTATGTCAGTAATATAAACACTTCAATTATCAATCTTCACACTAAAAGAAAAGTCCAGAAAATCCAAGTTTTGTTTGTAGAAATGCTCATGCCACACAAAGTCATGGCAAATGTTCATTTACAGAATCACAGAATGGTTGTGTTGGAAGGAACCTCTGGAAATCATGTAACCCAACCTCTCTGCTAAAGCAGGCTCACCTCGAGCAAGTTGCAGGATCACATACAGCTGGGCTTTGAGTATCTCCATGCAAGGAGACAACTCAGCCTCCCCCGGCAGTCTGCTCCAGTGCTCTGTCACACTCTAACTGAAGAACTTTTTCCTCGTGTTCAGAGGGAACTTCCTGTGTTTCAGTTTGTGTCCACTGTCTCTTGTTCTGTCACTGGGCACCATCTGGGCACCATCTGGTCTCATCTTCTTGACATTTGTCCTTAAGATATTGTATGCGTTGATAAGAACTCCTCTTGGCCATCTCCTCTCCAGGCTAACCAGGTCTAGGTCATACACAGCTCATGTGCGGCCTATATTCTTCTTTATTCGTGTACAGACTTTGAATAATGTTCTTAAGAACTTTGAAATCTATCAGTGGCACAAACAAATAGCTATATACATTTATAATATAAATGCATCAAACCATCTATATGGAACAACTCCTTCCAAACCCCTGAATTTTTAAATATGAAAATTTCATTTTTAAAACCCTCTATATTAAATGTTTATATGTGATCAATAGTATATATACAAAATCTCCCTCCTCCCTTTCTTCTGCCTCACTAGATACCACTGCCAGATCTGAAAATCACAAGTGACCATTCAAAGGACAACAACAAATAGGCTGCCTTGGCAAAAGTAATTTATAACAATTCCAGCATGACACTTGTTTAAATTTAAAATATGATTACAACTTTTAATGAATCATCACTGAAAGTTCAACTCAGAAATTACATTTAAAAATGTAACTTGAAAACCCCTGACATTTCTAAATAATCTTTCTGGGAATCCTGCCCCAAGTGCAGTTTTGCTCCCAGTAAAGACTGAATACATGCAAAGCTATCCAGTCACTTTTAACTAAACAGCTCAAATACAAATGTTGAAATATCTTAGTTCCAAAGAGGAAAATAATTTTGAAGCGTTAAATATGAATGAGTACAGCCCCTGTATGGGGTTTCATAAGGGCAATCCCTGTACATAGCTCACATGTAAGCTTTCAGCAATTAAGTTATCAACTTGTTTTAACATCAAATATTTTATTTTATGAATACAATTATTTTTTGTCAACAATTCTCCTTAGTAATTCTCAGGCACTGTTGTGAATTAATGTACTTAAAGGCACCAAAATATAAAATGATATTATCTCTATTCCTTCAACTACTTACCAATGTTACCTGTTGAAAGAAATCAAAATTGCAGTACTTAGCTAAGTGTAATGAATGTGAGTTTAATTCAAGTTCAATGCTGGCTAATATAAGTGCATAAATCTCTTCAATTTCTCTCTTTCTTTTTCTCCTTTTATCGCTAGTGTGCCAAATAAAAAACCCCTGCTTTTAATAAATTCTGTACCAGCTACTAATGCATATTTACAAACCATGGACCTAACACAGTAGCTTAGTAGCTTTTCAACTAATAATTTGCATTTTTACTTGAGAATCTATTTTAACAGGCCATAGAGCATACTATCTGAAAAATTAGCTGTTTTAATTATTCCTAACATCGTAGTAAAGATATATGATAAGCAATCTGTACTTTAATGGTTATAGATTTTAATAATAACAAAATTATTTTAACATTATGTTATTAAATAATAGTTAAAGCCCTCCAAATCTTGTAGAAGAACCAATACAAAGGCCATATGCAAATGGACTCCATTGTGATAATTCCATTCATTCAGTAAAAATCAATTAAAAATAATTCACAAAGCATAAAACACCCCAACCACCTTTCATATGGGCCTAAGTGCTTCCAAAATATTGATCTTAGTTTACAAGTTTCCTGTCATTTAGATGAACTACAATCACAATCATAAAGTTATCATGAACTGAACAAAATGTACACAACAATCACCGCTTAGAGGTATCTTAAAATGTTCACTTATAAATGCACATAATATGTTCATATATTTAGAAAGAGTAGGACTCTTTTGTATCCACATTTTGAAAAAATAAAATAATTGTATGAAACTGATGTCTAAGTTCAAGATAATTACCAGCAAACAATAATAAAATAACTGGTCAATAAGAAAAACTTTCTTATGCCAGTGATCCTCAAGGTAGAGGTGGGCCTAACTGCACCTTCAGGAGCTTTGCAGCCAACCTCACTGGCACTGTTCACTACTCCGTGGGAGATTTGGTGAAAAGTTCCATAGGTTAACTGGAAAGATGTAGCTTTCCCACCATATATGTTCTAAATGTTTCTGCCCTCTAGTATGTAGTAGGCACTGTATCTGCTGCCACTGCAGAAGTAGTTTACAAATTTCCAAGTGGTAGAAGCAATATTTATACTAATCTTGCTAATCTTGCTTGATAAGTTTTTTTTAATTTTATGTTTATTTAATCACAAAACAGGAGAATCACAGAAGGCAACTTATTTATTAGTAAATATGTTTTTTGTATGTCATATGCCTCAAGAACTTACAGGGATACAGACAAACAGGTTAGGAGAATTTTGAGAAATATTAGATATTTATGTGAGTAATAAAAGTTAGAACAGGGCATAGGCACTGACTCAGATAATAAGGGTTCAGTATCTAAGGCTTGCACTCTTCTTGTATAACTTCCAGAAATTAATGTATGTATGTGTCTTAGTTCGTCTCCTATGAAATGGAGATAATTCCTGATGTCAGAAGGGGCTATAGCATAAATTAATTTTGTTAGACAACAAAGCTCTAGAGATCAAGAGTGAAGAAATATTTTGTTATTCCTTGTAAAGTCCAAAGAGGCCAACCAGGCCTAGGAAGCTATTATTTCAAGCACCATATGTTCACAGGACATGGACAATGTTCAAAAGGATCTAACATATATATGACAAGACCAA